ACACAAACATTGAAACATCAAATACAAGAGCCCCCCTTCGTATAGCTAACGTACAAGAACTGTAGCGCGCCACGAAACAGAAAGTAACAGATACAGCGAACCATCAAACTGTATTAGGTACTTCCCTTACGTAATAGTTACGGGTCAATCGAACAGAGCAACATCACACCGATAATCAACTCCTCATGAATAACAGAAATAAATACTTAATTAAACAAAATAATGGCATAATCATCTGTACAATATAAGACACAAACATGATTCATCTAACGGTACACGAAACAAATGCATGGAGTACGCCATGATTCAGATATCGTAGTTTATGCAAAATCAGCAAAATGTAAATATCACATTGTGGCAAGAAATTCAATGATTAAATATCTAGTACAAGCAAGAATAAAATGGTTACTACCTGTAAATACATCTTCAAAACACCACCACCAAAAATAATCAAGAATAATAAAAAAACCGGGAAAGCGTGTGCCTTCCGTCGGCCTCATCGCCATCTTCTTCCCATTCTCCCCTAGCTTCGTTACGAAAATCCCCTAGTATTCGGCATCTGCGCAAAACGGTCGTTGGTTATATACAGAACATATTATATTTTTGTTTCAGCTGTAAACGTGTGTTGCCTAACCATCAGGGTGGATTATCACAATTTTATTTGTCAATTTTTTTAAGTTGGCAGCAAATTTGCCCAAAAATGGCGGATGATTGCGGTACTTTCTATATCTAGTGACTTTATATTGTATTTAATCTATCTATTCAAAAACCGCGCCTTTAAACTACAATTGCTCTACAGATCTTGCAAGACTCCGTACATTTTGAACTGCCATTTATTCAGACTTCTCAATCAAAAGTTATTGACTAGAAACCAATTTCGAAAAAAAATTCAAAGGGCTGTAACTTTTGAACTAGTAGCCCAATCTTGGAACTGTTTGAAGTTATGGATTCTACAGGCCACATTCTATAAGAAAATGTTTTTTCCGGGTCGATCGGAGACAATTTTTTCTTCGGGGCTCAAAAAAAGGCAGTGTAATACTTTCCTTTTTTACCAAAAATCGACTACACCAAAATTTCTCGAGAAAACACTTTTTCTTATTAATTTGGGTGCGTAGAATCCAAATTCATTCGTACTTTTTCGATCAGACCTCCCTATCAAAAGTTATAGACTAGAAAAAAATTCAAAGGGCTGTAACTTTTGAACTAGTAGCCCAATCTTGGAACTGTTTGAAGTTATGGATTCTACAGGCCACATTCTATAAGAAAATGTTTTTTCCGGGTCGATCTGAGACAATTTTTTCTTCGGGGCTCAAAAAAAGGCAGTGATTAACCTTCCTTTTTTTACCAAGAATCGAATGTAGAGCAATTGTAGTTCAATGACCCGGTTTTTGAATAGTTAGCTTCAATCATAGATTAAAAAATGGTTTCAAATACTATGTTCAAATAGGTACAAGTGCGCCATCTCGTTGGTAATCGAAACACATTCCTTCGTTTTATAGTTGTACAAGTTTAGTTGAGATGTCGCCACGTAGGTAACTTCCTTTGAAATATTTGAATTTATGCGACATCCCTCTTAATCTAATTTAGGTAATTCTCTAATACATTCAGCAGGTATTTATTTTGGCCGACCTACCTGCCCGAAGGCCGTACTGTGTGGGATGGGAAAAGGTCAACGTGCTTCATCCCTCCGACACCCTGAGGGATACCGGAAGCGGGCTACTCAGTGGTTCCTGACTCTCTTCAGCTAGAGAACGGGGCTGTAAGGATAGGTCATGTTAAGGTTGGGAACGAAGTCAGGGTGCTTAGACTGAGAGGGAAAAATACTGCTCCAGCATTCGCCTCGTAGATATCAACATAATGCGAAGATAAGTACGTCTGAGAAAAAGCCTCTGACAAAACCCCAGATAGAGCAATCGGCAGTGGGATTCGAACCCACAACCTCCCAAATAACAATCGGCAACGCAACCACTGCGCCACCCGCTTCGGTTGGTCCTTAGATCTCCAGTCCTTTTTGTATTCGAAACTAGCCTCTCAATTTGAATTGTTTTGTATACCTTTCCTAGTATGTGCAGATCTAAATGCGCACACCCAGTAGCCCTTTGGCCACCTGGTTTTATAGCTATATAACCTAGGCTTGAAAATTTAAACACTGCTGGATTGGCTCTTATAAGGCAATTGAGCGAGCGTAGTTCGACCCTCTCTTATGCTAACTCCCACCCCTTCCTTCGACTTGGAGCCATCTGTGTATCAGCAGAAGACTCCTTTTTCAAATTCCGGACTGTTTTCACAGACTACCTTGTCCCCGATCATCACTTTAAAGGGCTTATCGTGGCGGTATTCGGGAATCATGTAGTTTGATTTATTTAATTGTTGGACAACCCCTTAGTGTTTTGCGCTGTTATGTGTTCCTCTTCCCTCACTTCGTTGCAATCTGTTTGCTCCTTTCGCCGCTTCTTCGTCACCACTATAAGTGAAGAGAGAGGAGACCCAGCAATGGCATTAAAAAAAAAGTAGAAAATAAAAAATAGTAAAAATTCCAACCAAGTACCTATAATGGGTCAATAATTATCTATATGAGTAGATTGTCATTGCGTCAAACCTTCTTGCTTCATTTCATTCTTTATCCAATCAATGTACTTCGAAATTTTTGTGAATACATCTGGAATACCACGAGCGCAGGGCCACACCCACGAAGCAATTCCTATTAATTTATTATTAAACACAAGAGAACCGCCAGAATCGCCCTGACACACTCCGTGCCCAACTTTGAGCAATGTACATATGTGCCCGTCACCTATAAAATCATTCTTGTACGGTTGCATTGACTGACACTGCTTTTTAGTAAGGCTTTTCACACGAAGCTCTTTCAAAACTTCGCTACCTGTCCCATTGGCTTTCGTCAAGCCCCAACCGGCCGTTATGCAATCGACGTCGCCGCCGACTTCTTCTTCGGACATCGCAATTGGTTGTACACGATCGTTGAATTCAAGAGGTCGCTGAAGTATCATGATCGCGACATCGTAGTGAAGAAACTGTTTGTACTCCGGGTGACTTCGGACTTTGGCTATCCTTCTTGTTTGTCCCGTTTCCGATAAATTCACGATCCCGGCAACTACGGAGAGATTTGTAGTGTCGTTGATGAAGTGTCTAGAAAAGTTGAGCAATTAACAATTCAAATTGACCTACACAAGCATACATAAGGCAATGGGCCGCTGTGATCACCGTCCATTTGTTAACTATCGAACCACCACACCCGTGATAACCGAAGCTTCTTACCGAAACCAGGTGAGGATGCAAATGTTGAGCTGTCGTAACTAGGGATCCACCTACAATGTGCGAACGCAAGTTTCCGGCCAAGCAAGTGCTTGCCGCATGAAGAATCGCTAGTAATCGAAACATCACCTTGCTGGTTCGAAGTGAGATTGGTTGCGCGTGTTGACCAAAGACTTTATAACGGATTTTCAATGTATAGGTATAACAGTGATCAATAAAATACTTTGATGAATGCTCAATTTGAGCAGTAGACCAGAAAATGGACCCATGGCTTATGTAACTGTGTGAGAAAGACAATTTTCGCGAATACGTCACCTTATTTTTGCTAACGATAACAATTTTTATTCAGTAGTCGAAAAAAGTTTCAGTAAATACATGAATGCATAAAGTAAAATTACTCAAATTATACGCTCTTATTAAATAATTGCGATTACATTAATTGCCACAAGATTAACTTTTACTTAACCTGGAGGAGATGGCTCTAATGGTCAAGTGTAATTATAATGATCAATTTAACTTTCCCACAATTCCAACATTTTTAAAAAGGTTATCAATATGGCACAGTCGCGTGCATCACGTAACAGTTGCAAAAACGTTTTAAAACAACAATAAGTCTTTTTTTTAGTGTATTTACCATTGCGAATAAGTCTTTATTGCAACATGGCGTGCTCCACGGTCGGTATCAAATATAGCACAGTACATTCGAAACAAGTCACCCCGCCAAATATTAATAATCATAATCACCCGGTTCAAATAAATAGTAGGAGCATAACTTTTAGTACTATCACATTACAACAATACAAAGGAACATGTCGTGGCAAACATTGGTATCAAGTAATTAATTCACAATGCCAAGTGCAATATGTAACAATCAACCACCTAACGTACGTCACTCGCCCCCAGATGAGGCACCCTGTAAATACACAGTTGCAAACAAAAGCGAAATGTGCTGCAATAAATTCAATTATAAATTAAAATGTAGTTCTGCATACCTTGTATTGGGTATCGCCCCTAAGGGAACATACAGTATCTAAATATAAATAAAAACACGTAAATCGGTCAGTAATTCCCAGTAGGACCAGTATAGCAATTTGTATCTGGAATGTGTTATAAATGGCAATAATCAATGCTGTACGAGAATAAAGTTAAATTGGCAAATAATCGAACACGATCATATCATTATTAGAGGGATGCAATAGACGTAAAACGAGCACATCACCTTTGTAATTGTCGAAGCTGCACTCACTATTCGCAACGTAAATATTTACTTCTGGTCTCAACAAACTTCTGCCGCATTCTCCTCCTTTTTTTTTTAAACAAATCCTAGACGAAATTTGAACGTGCTCCGAGACGGGTCGATACGGATCATTAAGTTTCCTCGCATAGCGTAATATTTGACACTTTTATTGTAAAGTATGGCCCATTTCAATGTAGAGCAGAGAAGAAAAAAACACGTGTTCCACGAAAACGAAACACAGCGCAATCTTGACCTTTTTCGTCGCGCCAGGCTCGGATTCGGGAATATTTAAATCGAATTTTAGCGGGCTAATTCGGTTCCATCACATGACCTTCAATGTTTACAGACATGTCTTTGACAATGACTAACATACACATTTAAAGCGTAGAGGAATTATGCCTATTAATTTTTCACATAGTATAAGAGACGATTAACAGGAATCTTATTAACTCGACTTCTGATGGTCGATTTTGCGAGTTTTTAAAAGACGTAAAAATCTAAAACTTTATACGCATACAAGAATAGTTTAATTTGTATCACAAATATAAAAACTTCACTTAATTAAAAAACTGTCGCTTTCACCCCTATCGTCCGCCACTGATATCGGACTGCCGAATACTTCCATACTACCCTTGGATTGGCGCCCGACGTCCAGTTTTTCTAGGCTGTTTCTTTGAGATGGCGCGTCCGGTTGTTTAGTTGGAGAAGGAGAGTCCAGATTCCATTCGCTGCTGTAGACCGACGCCAGAGACGCCGGGGTTTCTGGACGTTGAGGGCTGTCCACGTGAGCGCGGCCGTTGGTGGGTTTCGCCATTGAGAAGCGGCGTCCCGACGGTGGCCGAATGCTAAACAGAAACAAGATGTTGAAATCATCATAAGAACACTGGTGTAAATACAAGAACAAGGCGCGAGGGACGACGACGACACTTCCTTCGACCTTTATTTGAGGGTAAGAGCTTTAATCTGTGAACCAAAAGTGAACGTTTAGCACACTTTCGTAAGAGGTTTCACCGGGACTAACGTTGCGAGGTCAAATTTCTTTGGAGCGAGTTCCTGAGGCGAGAGTATTCCGGGGGGAGCAATACCCTATGTGCAACTACTCTTAGGGTCGATGGCGAATTAGACCGGGAGATGGTGACACTTTTTGTGGTGTGATTTGCTACAAGTGTGGCGACCATTCAAAGGATTAATTAAGTATCATGGATCAAAGTGGAGCATGAACTTTCGGAAAATCTAAATGCCATACTGTAGCAAATCACCCAAAATTATTAACAAAAATGACATCTTTGCGCAGGTATGGCGGCTATCCGGGCCCGTCGGTGCGGTATGGCAGGTTGATTTTCGTGAATGACTGATTGAGGACTTGATGCTCATAAAAAAATGAGCTTGTAGCAAATCGCCCAAAAAAAAAACAATCGACACGTTCAAGTGAGTATGGCGGGCTATAAGGCCCACCGGAAAAGTAGGGCATTTCGTTTCCGTCATTTGTTTTGTCACCGACTACCAGAAAATCCAAAGAATTTTGTGTAGCAAATTTTCCGACATGTTTAAACAATCGTCACGCAATAACGGCCCCACTCCCAGAGAGTTAGCACCATTTTCGTTTTGAGGAGTATTTAATTAATCCTTTGAATGGTCGCCACACTTGTAGCAAATCACACCAGAAAAAGTGTCACCATCTCCCGGTCTAAATACTTCAAGCGTCGAATCTTTCCCTCTCTCACTCTATTTCTCGCGCTTGCGCTCTACAGTCTACTATAGTATTTCATATCCTCGTACTTCTTAAGTCTTTAGAGTTAAAAGGGAGGGAAGTTAAAATCGCCGAGGGCTAAAAATTGTGTGGGAAAGTGTTTCCGGGGAGTATCCCCTCACACGATAGTTTCACTGTCATTGCAATGGTAGGTACTACCCACATTACTGCGATTACTCACTCGAGATCCTCGGGATTGGCCGACTTCGAGCTTTTCGCACGGACTGGGTTGTTGACCGCCTTTGAGAGGTCCTCCAAGGAGTTGTGCCTCCGATGCGCGCTAGCGTGATAAAAATCAGTGCGTAAAGTACCGTACCGTCGCTTACCTAGCACCGATCTGCCTTTTATCGAGCTCCTTCTGAATCACCTCTGGTAGCGTGATCTTTCCCATGGACTAAAACGTTACGTCCGTTAGTGAAACTTCGCAAAGGCGCGCTTACCGAACTCAATGAGTTTTCAGTCGGATTAATCCAGATGTTCGTGGCCGACAGGTCCAAGTCGACGAATGACCTATTAAGTGTGCTCGCCGAAGCACTGGTTTTCACCGGTAACAGTGGAGAACGGCAGCATACTCTGCAAGTGAAATTAAACGTGACAGCTACCGGGGAGTGCCACTTACGAGTTGACTTCCTCGAGCTTCTTCAGCAGCCTTTCGTTATCTCGGCACACGAGCTCTTGGTCTCTCATCAGGATCTCTCGCGAGACGAACAGTTCGGTGTTCTCCTTTCGCAAGGCCTCATTTTCGGCCACGTATAACTTTACAAGGTCTATAAGCTGGGGCCCCTCCAGCTCGCCCAGTTTGTCCAAATCGACTTGGACCGACGACGCGCTACGTTTACCGCCGAGCGACTCCGATGGGGATCCTTGCAGATGTAGCGCTGTTCTTAGGTGTTCGTTTTCACTTTGCAAAACGCCGACTTCCCGTTTCAAAGTTAGTATAAGCGCCTCCCGTGGATCCTAAACAATTAAAGACCGAAACTAAGATGTCTAATACCTCAGGGACGTATACCATCAACACGATCGGTTTGGTTCTGATCCTTTTCGCTCTTGCCGCGTATCTTAGCGTATTGATCGTCTCGCACAAATTGGACATTGCAGGCGAAATGCACGCGATCTGTAATTACAGCGTAATAAACTGGGACAATTTTAGTTTGGTATCTACTACCATAAGCGTAACGCCGTTTCCGGCCAAGGAGTCGGCCAAAAGTTTCGTGAGCTGTGAATCTCGGTAGGGAATGTGATTATTTCTGCGCTTGTTGTCGCTGAGCGACGCGATGCAGTATCCTGAAATGTCAGAAACCCAATCAAGGAAAGCGTCAATAAACGTGATGGAAACGCGAAAAGGTTACCTAAAACCATTAAGCTTTTATTAATGTTGTTGGCCTCCTCTAAGGTCTTTCCCTCGCTTTGCGTTTTCTTCGTCATCTCACTCCCGGCGAGATCGACGAAGTTAATTTTGCCCGATCTAGATATGAAGACGCCGTTCTCGGCGGGCTGCTCGGACGTTATGTGAACCGTTAGGATCGTATGACTTCGACTGCAAGAAGTTCAATTTTTACACGCCGCATTTTCGCAGGAACTCGCTTACCTCGAGTAGTCGTTCATGTTGTGACTTCCAACGGAACGGTTCCTCATTCCTTCTTCCAAAACGGCGGTGAGATCGTCCAGCTCCTCGCAATCCACCGTGAAGAGGTTTTCTACGAAAAATCCGCGCGCTTTCTTACTCCATCGCACTGCTAATGGCTTCCTGGCGCTGCCGGGATTTAGTAGGTCGATTACCTACAATCAGAAAATTAAAAATGAGGTCATTGCTAGTTTCTAATTTTAAAAGCGAGTTCGTAGAAATACAATCCTTTTCTTCGAACTCACATCGCCCCTGTGGCCTAATGGATAAGGCATCGGCCTCCTAAGCCGGGGACTGTGGGTTCGAGTCCCACCAGGGGTACGTGCGTTTTTTTTACAGACGTTTATACAGGGTGTTTTTTGGGAGCTTTAGTTAAACGTTTCTGGGAAAGTAAAATAGGTAGGTTTTTGAAAATTTGTACTTAGGAGTTACGCTGAAGGCCGAATCTATGTAAAATATTTTCAAAATGGCCGCACTTCCGGAAACACTTCCATCCCTATTTTTTATTGCATTTTTGGATTCTACGTGAAATTTCAGTTCTTTTGATATCTGCCATTTATGGTTTTTAAGTTATTTTGACTTTAAGAAAAAAAATGGCGGATGCAGATGGTACCTTGATAATTGATTACTTGAACAAGGTTATAGTCATGGCAACCCATTTTTATCAGTGCATAGACAATGACTAGGGCTTTCTTTTAGTGTACTTAAAAAAAAGTTAAGTTGCGTACAACCGCACCTATGGAGATCCAAATTTAAGAAACTTCAAAGTCTATAAATTCAGTTTTTTTAAATGGAATGACCATGTTCTTAATATTGCATGAGATAGAGAATCGAAATTGGCATATTTTGATTCCCATTCCCATTTTATTGAATTGATCTCGGAATTGATGCCATTTTTTAGTAGTTGGCCATGATTTTATAACAATCGAATTTTAAACAAATCAAGGAATGGATTCTTTAATACCATTGATTCTAGTTCTAGTCTAAATAATTCATTAATAAATAACTCATTTATTAAGGATATAGGACGGAAAATTTTTGAAAAATTTGTTAATCTTGCATTTGCAATTCAATTCATTTTCTTAAATATTCTCTTGTAGAGCTTTGTATCACATGTGCTTCAACCGTTTGTAGTGCATTAGGGGTACAAAATTTCCAAAATTCATACAATTTCGTTCCAGTTTTAGAATGATTGTACGGAAAGCACGCGCCGCGATTCTGCCCATTTCACCATAAATAACAATTAAATTCCAAAATAGGTGAAACCACTGCGAGTCATTTTTCGATTTTTGAAAAACTTATGTTAACCTATAACAGTGGGTGATGGATTAGTGTCACTCGATTTGTTTAAAATTCAATTGTTATAGAATCATGGCCGACTACTAAAAAGAAAATCCGAAAAAAATACTGTCAATTCAATAAAATGGGCAGTGGCGTAGCGTTTCAAAATAATAGGAGGGGCGGACCGAAGTCACTTGGCCCCCCCCCCATCTCAATTTTTCTTTCGCGGTGTCGATTGGTCATGGTATCACAGAAAAGAACAAAAATAAACGACAAACAAAATGTAATTATGTATTTTTTTTAACCAAATTTTCAAATCTTAAATTGTTTTCGTCTTTTAAGTGATGCTAATGACAGACACAGAGAGAATGTGAATTGAATAGGTTGCTGTGAGGAGCGGGGAGCAGGTTCTTCGCAGTTCTTGACAATTCTACGACTACAGGCAAGGCAATAACAGTAGCGCTAGCGCTGTTGTTGTAGTGTGTAGGGGTATTGATTGACCGTATCAGACGTTCACCGTTCACGAAAACTTGCCAAAACCATACTTACCTAGGTATAGGCTTGAATCATGAAATTCAATTAATTTTTTTTTATTTTTTATTACCTATTATACATTTACTATTTACATAGTAGGGGCGGATTGGGCCCCCTCAGCTTTCGAGCCCGGGGCGGACCGCCCCCCTCGCTACGCCACTGAAAATGGGAATAAGTCAGAAACTGTTAAAGATAGCTATAGGAACATGTATTGTCAAAATATGCCCATTTCGATTCTCTATCTCATGGAATAGTAAGACCATGGTCATTCCATTTAAAAAAACTGAGTTTTTAGTCTTTGAAGTTTCATAAATTTGGATATCCATAGGGGCGGTCGTACGCAACTTAATTTTTTTTTAAGTGCACTAAAAGAAAGCCCTATTCATTCTCTATGCACTGATAAAAATAGGTTGCCATGACTACAACCGTTTTCAAGTAATCAATTATCAAGGTACCATCTGCATCCGCCATTTTTTTTCTTAAAGTCAAAATAACTTAAAAACCATAAATGGCAGATATCGACATATGGGTATCAAAAGAAGTAAAATTTCACGTAGAATCCAAAAATGCAATAAAAAATAGGGGTTGCCATTTAAAATAACGAAGTTACTATCTACTTCCGGTGTTTCCGGAAGTGCGGCCATTTTGACAATATTTTACATCGATTCGGCCTTCAGAGTAACAAATTTTCAAACACCTACCTATTTTACTTTCCCAGAAACATTTAACTAAAGCTCCCAAAAAAACACCCTGTATAAATTTTTCTGTTCGGTTGTATATGAAAGTATGTCGCTTTTAAGTTTTAAAGCAATTCTTGTCCGGCCCCACTTCTGCGGTTATGAACTACTTTTGGGGGAATTGTCTGCAGTAGGTAGCCTATACCCCGAAGGTCTGCCAGGCATAATTTCAAACAGTTCCAAGATTGGGTTATTAGTTCAAAAGTTACAGCCCTTTGAATTTTTTTCTAGTCTATAACTTTTGATTGAGAAGTCTGATCGAAATAGTACAAATTGATTTGGATTCTACGCACCCAAATTAATAAGAAAAAGTGTTTTCCCGAGAATTATTGGTGTAGTCGATTTTTGGTAAAAAAAGGAAGGTAATACACTGCCTTTTTTTGAGTCCCGAAGAAAAAATTCTCTGAGATTGATCCGGAAAAAAATTTTTCTTATAGAATGTGGCCCTATCTGGTGTTGGCTCGGGTTTGGTGCACGTTGAAGGCGGCTTCGACCACAGCTGGGGGAGGCGGCAGTGCGAGGTCTCGGTAACGACGGAACTGGCCCCACCACTGCTCTCGCCACAGGCGTAGTTTCCCCCGTTGATGGCATTGACTGGGTCGGTTTCTGGTGGTGTCATAGTGCCATATAGTGCGAATGCTAAGGTCCCACAAGCCAGCAGAGCCATTTTAGAAAAATGAAGGACGAAATACATCAGAATTATAGGCTGATTATAGGCCCTTTTTGAACACTTGAACAAATTTTCAGGCGGCATCCTTTAAACAAAAAAAACTATCATCCAGATCAGTTTGATTTTGCCCCTCTCGGAGATGTAGTGGATAAATAAAAATTATTTATTTATTGCCTATTTATTGTCCCTCTCTTGTTCTGGGCCCTCAACGGGCTGTCGCCCAATTAATATATTTATTTAAACTCTAACTTATATTTCAAAAATCCGATACAACTGAATACCAAACGATCCTCGAGATCTTAACACATAAATCATTTTTACAATACACCCTAAGGGGTTGATTCTGTCCCACCTGATCAACATAGCTTGTAACACAAATTTTTTGAAATGGAATTAGTTTTACTTTTATTTGAGGTGCCTGCATACGATTTCATTTAAATACCTTAACAAATAAATGAAAACCGACTGCGCATGGGCAAAACAAATTTTCTGATTTGGAATTAGTTTCACTTTTATTCGAGGTGGCTAGATACAGAATTTCATTTAAATATATTAACAAATAAAAAATTAGGATTGCGCAAATACAAAAGTTGTTATGCGCATGCGCAGTATTTGTTTGCATCTGCATAGTTGCCTGAAGTTTAAAGAATATTTACTAACACAGAAAACCGGACATTCATATGTTCTTTGTAACAAGAGTTAGAAACCCTTTTTGGAGGTTTGCACAGTTTTTGGTCTGTAACTATTTGGCCCGTTGGTCTACGTAGCCGAAAAACAATTGCGAACTTTGTTATATCTTGAAGAACATGTGTATATCAATTTTTAAAGCGATAGGACGTTTCTACACAAAGTTACCGTACCCACTGACAGACAGACGGCACAGACAGGTAGCAATACAAAATTATAAACGATCTCGAGGTTCGTTAATAGTATAATGAGACGAATAATTTCAATTTTTTTTGTACTTCTTTCCAATTCAGGAATATCGTTTCAACTTTTCTTCTCCTATAATACAAGAGAAGATGCAACTCAGACACTTTTACCATTACTTTTTTTTAAAACCTGAAACACAACAACTTGCTATATATTTGATTTATTAGTAAAAGAAAATTCAAATTTCAAATACCTACCTGAGAGATGTCTCCAAACAGGTGAAACAATCCCTAACATTAAAGTTACTAGAATCTGGTAACTTCCGCAATTTTTGGGCAAAAAACATGCGTTCTCTCTCTAACACACGGGCCCAATGGATTGCGGTACTTTCTATATTTAGTGACTTATAATGGATCTACAGTGACTGTATACCTACTGTATAGAGGCAGTTTGGTCATACTTTGGTATTGTTTTTTTATTGGTAAGTGGGATATCCGCCATATTTTAACCAAATAAATCGAGTTGGCGGAAATTAACTTGGAATCCAAGGTGATCAAGTCACAAACCGTTGTGGAAATAATATTGTAACCATAGAAAATGGCCAAGATCTACCAATTCAATTAAACCGATCAGCTTAATGAAGAATATGGGAAAAACATGGCGGATATAGAGCATATGACCACACTGTCTTTATACAGTCACTGTTAATGGATCGATATTAATTACAAGGCAAAAATTTTGCGCATGCGCATCACGCTACCTTCTTCTTTAGCCAGCAAAATCATAGTTTTTTTCTTTAAAGAATGCCGCCTGAAAATTTGTTCAAGTGTCCAAAAAGAGCCTATAATCATCAGCCTATAATTCTGATGTATTTCGTCCTTCATTTTTCTGAAATGGCTCTGCTGGCTTGTGGGACCTCGAATGCTACGTCTCCGAGTTTCCTTTGCGTTGGCGAATGCCGCGTTCTTTTTAATTTGATACTTAATTCTACCAATGGGATTACTTCTCCTTTACCAATAAAATCGCTAGAATAAGTCAATTTGACAGTTAAAAATCAAATCGCCGTGAACTGATAATACTGCGAACTTGGCAGTTTCCAAGCCATAATTGTGTTCCAATTCCAAGCCGACTCCCAGTGACATCTACATATTTTATCTTGCGCCAGATTGGCCCGATCGCAATTAAACGCTAGTGACGCTTCCGAATACCATTAACTTAAAAATAATAGAGCGGCCAATTGATCCAGGAAGCCAGTGGGCGCGTTCAGCCGTATTCAGCGCTTATTCAACTGTTTCCAGCGCCAGAGCGGAAAGTATGTTCGCTGAGAAAGATGAAGGACGCCAAAAAATGACGATACATTGGCGCTATGACAGCACTGGCCCGGCTGAACGCAGCCATCGACTTAAAAAAACATTGGGGCCCAACATTTTGAAAAAAAAAACTGCTCTGTAAAGAAATCATCTAGTACATCTTTCTATGGATTTAATAATCTTGGGTCACAGGTCGTATGGTAGCCCAAAATCACTTTTCTTAATTTTTAGCGCATTTTCCAAGGAAGTTGAGCGCATGAAAGCATGAGTGTACGGTCTGAGAAAAGTTAATTGAGTATTTATAGCATAGTGCCTCCAACTTCGTTGACCTCGACCTCTGCTATCAGTACGACTTCACAAAAATACTGACTTGGACTTAGATCAGTCGAGAGAATACAAACAATAAGATGAAGCTCCCTTTAACAATTTTGTTCTTTTGTGGTCTACTACAGGTAGGTCAGACCATATTCAATGGTAAGACGGATATTGCCCGATTGCTTTATCGCCGTTTCAGATTTCCCTCGCGTTGAAAGATTACAAAGTAGAATCCGATTGGTGCATAGAACGTTACGATCTCAATTCCAGCGAAATCTATAGAATTCATAGCGGCGCCCATCTGCCCCAGGACAGTAAACCTTACTCGACATTTATGGAATGCTTGTGGCGGAAGATTCAATTCTTGGACGGCGACGGAGAACTCAACCTTGCCAAAATTAGGGAGTATTATCGAGTCGCCCAAGAGGGTCACGACGAAGTCGAAAGCGCCAGGAGAGCGGATGCCGTTGTTGAAAGGTGCCGACTCGCAGGGGGCAGCACGCCAGCTATTAGAGCCATTAATATGGGAAACTGTTTGAAGAACAATTAATTTTTGATAAATACATTCATTTTTTGCAATTCTATTCTTCTGATATGATCTCCTCATTTGTCTTTTCCATGGAATCAGGCGGTCTTCAGTGCGTACTTTTATGGGAGACACAAGCTACCGTGTAGATTAACGGGCGATCAAAAATGAGTTGCTGTCGAGTCGCCTTTGGAAGTTCATGTTAAGTACGATTTCTCATGTAAACAAAAATTCCAAAGGTGACTAGACAGACAACTCATTTTTGATCGCATGTATTAGAAATGAACGTACATATGACGTACGTACTATGTACAACGTGACAACATACTTCCCAAAAGTGATTGCTTAGCAGTAAGAAGCATCATTAATTACATTCCACGAAACCGCCATCCACGCGTGATTATAACTAATTCGTTATCGCCATTTTGTTATTGATAGCCAGCCAACTTATAAATACACAGCGTCCCACTTTTAAATCTCCAAAATCAAGATCAACTCCTATACCGCAATGAACGCGTTCGGAATTTTCGCCGCCATACTCTTTCTTCAGGTAAGTTGCTCCATTTTTCCAGTTTAAACGTTGTATACCTACTCCCTAGGCCGCTATGGCGTACAAAGATTTCAAGGAGGAGTCGGACTGGTGCATCGAACGACACGGACTCAGCGCCGACAAAATCTACAGAATCCACAGGGGAGGGCACTTGCCGTCAACCGACGACGACTATCTTACCTTTATCGAGTGCCTGTGGAGAAAAATTCGATTTTTGAATTCGCGCGGCGAACTAAACTTGGCGGAAATTTGGGGGATGTACTACGAGGTCGCGCACGAGATTTACAATCATCAAGTCAGCGCGGTGAAGGCGGATGCTGTCCTAAAGAAATGCAAAGGGGTTAACGGCGACACGCCGGCCCTAAGGGCTGTGAACATGGGGAATTGTTTAAAAAATGTTGCTAATTATTAAATATTTTAAGTGCCAAACTTGGTCACAAAACGTACTCGAAATGATTGCTATTCCCAGTCGGGAGTAATCGATTAGGGTAAAAACCTCTTTATTTGATTAGTGTAAGTGTAGACGCCATGGAAAAGCAGGAAAATTAGGTAATTACTTCTCAGATGGTAACATATGTCTTGCGTATCTGTACGTACGTCTGTGGGACAAAATACGTACATTCGTCCAAAGGAATTCCAGTATACGTAAAAGTACAGCTTGTTAGAAGATGAAAATACAAAACTCCCTCTTCCGAATAAGACTCTATTTTATTGATGAGATTCCAGAAGGTACATACTTACACGGACGTACAAGGAATATACCGATAAATGACATGGTAAAAACGTGATTAAAACAAACACAAAGTACTGGATTCCAATAATCCACCGAAGTGTCTTTTTCTTACATTTTCTTATTCGTCCATGTACATTGTTTCCCTTCTTCTTAGCTTCATATTATTTTTGGTCAAAACTGGCGTCTAATAAAGGATTTTCTATATACCTATTGGGTCCTTTGAAGTCAACGAGGTAAAAAGGTTTTGAGTTAACCTGGCGCATTTGTTTCTGTTGGGTTTGTTTACAAGAAAAGTGTCGGATTCAGCCATGTATGGACAATTTGGACGTCTCATGTCAAGTGGTCGTTCCAAAAGCGGAAAGGAAAAAGACCTATGAATATTATTACATTTTTTAATCTTCGCATTCCGATTCAACGGCATTCTAAAATAAATATGTTACCTATACGCAAACGGGGGCCGTACATACCTGACGGTTTCAATTTGGGCCATAAACCAGACGGATCGGCCATTTTGAGATGCGTGCCATCAAAAAAAAGGTCAGCATGTGTTATTCGTTACTGCCACTTGATAACAAAGGTCAAGTTTCAAGAGGTCGATCCGTATAGATAGTGTTCGTTCTAACTTCGTAGAAGCTAACAAAACAACGGCGCTATAATGAGAATTATCCTTTTGGGTTTCTGCTGGTTGTTGTCTCTGCAGGTGAGTTAACGTTTTTTTAAAATTATGATAACCCCTGCAAGGTCCGGTAGGGATGCCTGATGGCGTTGAGGTCAAGGCGCGATGCCGCCGACAGCTCAGCTCAAGCGTGCGTCACGGAACTAAACCTGGAGGTGGAAAAGATCATGAAGATCAACGGCGAGGACTATACACCCGAAGGAGACGAGGATTACGCAAGGTACACGGAGTGTTACTGGAAACGAATGGGATACCTGGACGACTTTGGGGACTTTATCGCTGATAATCTCAAAAAGATGATCGTTGAGAGTATCAAACTTGACGCGCACACAAAGAAGTCGATGCACAAAATTGCCGAGCTTATTCTGGAGCAGTGTCGGCACTCTCACGGTCCGACGATTGGGCAGAAAGCGATTCGCATGGAAAATTGCATTACGAAATATTACAAAGTCTTCCTCAGAAAATATTCTGAGGCTGAATCGAACGTGGTTAACCATAAATAGTTGCAATATTTAGCTATTAATTAATCGAAATAAAACTAATGCTTACCTTTTCGTTGTAAATCTCCAAAAAACTGGCCTTAAGTATGAAACTGACGTCCGACTTTTCGTTCAGCAATTTGAATAAGTACATAAACGATCTAAACACCAACCCGTGAGCGTCACTGTAAGAGGGCTTCTTCTTGTCGAACTAAAGATTATCGTATGTAGGTCACTAATGGACATCGGGGGTCTTACCAATTTCGGTGGACCGGTCAAAGTGTGAGTTTTTCCACTGCCTGTTTGCCCGTAGCAGAAGGCGGTGCACCTGAAACCCTCGACGGCCATTTCGATCAGCCTTTTTATACCGGAGAACTGGAGGACGTCTTCTTGGGTCGCGGCCGGCTCGAAGACGACATTGTAGGAGAAGAGTTTCGATTTGTGAGCGCTACCGCCGTTGGGGAGGTGTTCCACCTACAACAAACGGAAATATACGTTAACAAGAGATCAACAAACCTCACGTTCTGGACCTTCGTGGACAACTCATCTTCTCTTCAAACGCCTAGGGAACAAAATGTTTTACGTTTTTGAAAATGTTAATCGGCATTTATTTTAAATAATTCCTACCGAACTTAATAATAATAATAATAAGCCATTTATTGGACATACTTCCACCTCAATAATATACAGGGTGGTAACTTGCGTAACGCATCATAGGGATTTCAATGTAAAATTCATAACATGCGATTATTGGCTCCCCAAATTATTTTAGAGCAAAAATGTATTAAGGTTTTTTGTAGGAAAAATTTTTCTACGGCAATCAACCGTATTAGTTTTCAATTTTTTGCATAATAAAGACGGAAAATTGGAAAATTAAAACCCCCATCTTTTTCAATAATCTGTGATGCCATGGAATTTTATAATAGAAAAACTACGCCAATATCGTCATGCCATGGAATGTCTGCTATAAAACAAATCAAATTCTATCAAAAAGTATTATATTTAGAACAGCGAATTCAATATAAAGAAAGACCAAATTACTAAAAACGGTTTCCTAATATAACAATTTACAATAAATGCTCGAATAAGTTACCATTAACTGCAAGACAGTAACCAAGTCGATCATAAAATCCATTTCGAACTGCTGCTAATTGATAACTAGATATCTTTTTGTTTTAGAAAATTCCATGGCATCGCAGATTATTGAAAAAGATGCGGGTTTTATTTTTCCAATTTTCCGTCTTTATTATGCAAAAAATTGAAAACTAATACGGTTGATTGGCGTAAAAAAATTTTTTCTACAAAAAACCTTAATACATTTTTGCTCTAAAATAATTTGGGGAGCCAATAATCGCATGTTATGAATTTTACATTGAAATCCCTATGATGCGTTACGCAAGTCACCACTCTGTATAATAACAAAACAAGAAAACAATTTAAAAAAAAAAGAAGAAAAGGAGTGTCTTCAGTCAAGAATCTTTCCATCTTGGATTTTTAGCGTTGCGTATGGGTAAACCCAAAGGTACGCGTCTCATATGCCCACCATACATTAGAGATACTTACTTTACCGGCCACTACTCACACGTGCATCCTTGCCAAACGACGAAACAACCTTCTATACTTGACCTATTCTGAAACGAGGACGCTGATGGGCCACTTTCTCTCTGCCTTCCTCCTATCTTCCTCGACAAAACATTGTTAGGAACTAGAGGGGTTCCTTCTACGACCACGATTCACCAGATCTTTACATACGTTAGGTACCAGTTCTCATACGGAACTTACTCTTCATATATGTAAGTAGTTCTAGTGACTACGTATGTGTAACCTTTATTGCGCAGCATAGAATAGTTTACAGGTGCCCTTATAACAAGATGTCAGATCGGCTATAATAACAATAATTAACAGTATGTTGGACTGACGCGCTTGTTACTCAGAAAACCCGCTTCCCAATTAAACTGTCAACACTCTGATATAATCCATAAAATGTAATTGCGGACAGGAACACAATCCACTTGAATGAGTAATGATTTCCAATTACTTCGGTTGCATTATAAGTGTGTATGTACTGGCAAATATGCTTTTTAAACACCTGAATTTTTAATATCGCATGGTATTGTGAAGTTTGGCTATTGCATCTATAAACGTCTTTATATTTGCAGGGGCATAAGTGGTAGGTAAACTTTTTGGTGGTAGTAATATTAACAACCTGTTCATTCGTTAACTACATCAACACTTTTGTATTACTTTGCTTTATGTGTAAGTAGATAAGGAAACGGCACATTGATTATACAGAGACATGACAAGTGATTAGGCTATTATTGATTTATACCCACCAATATTTGTCCATTTCCCGGAAACTGTATAACAGAAATGTCTCTCGCCTTAACTTCCTTGTGGTTTAGAGGCCGCACTCTGGAAGGAAACGCCGATTAGTTGCCTTGCATTAACAAAAACGATTTTTTTTTACCTCACGACAACATTGATATTATCCTCGACTTGGTTGTATCCTGATATTATCCTATGGGAATGACCAGTATCGTCGAGCCTTTCTATACTGCCAGTTCTAAAAGAAAAGTGAGATTAGAGGACGTTTTCGGTACGTTAACAAATGAATCTCTACGGGTGCAATTTCCCGACTCTGTGCTAAAGCCGCCATCTTGGAAAAATGGCGGCCGTTGAGCTATGGACCCTGTTTGCCTCGTCTTTTTTTAGAAACGTCAACCATTTTCTATATCTATCAAGAAAACCTTAAAACAGACTACATTTTATTCGCTAAAAATTGTCCAAGCGAAAATACTATTTCCCTTTCATTTTTCTCATCTCTTCCAACGCACAAAACTAGTGGTTTTAGTTAATTATCTTCCCGATGTGTCCCACGTTTCCATAAAAGAAACAACCATGGAGTAAAAAGCGTAGGATTCGAGCCCCTACCTAGCACCAAACCCATCTGAGCACGCTTGGCGGCTTTTCATGTGGCCTTTGTGTACCACATCCAGAGCCGTCCTTAGCAAATGCGAGGCCTGGAGCGAAATATTTTTGCGGGGCCTTTTTTAACAATGATTTCCGAGGGGGGCGGGGTATGGAATACCCCCGAGGGGAGTGGGTCCTACTCCGGAAATTTTTGCAAAATTATACATGCAAAGTCGTCATTTTAAGCACTTTGAATGACTGTCACGCGGCGAAGGGAGAGGAGGAGATCATGCAAGAATGATTCACTCACCGGCGAGCGCGAGGGTTTGTTCGCGACTAATGACTATGACGTACGAATGAGACTTTCGTTCGTAGGTTTTTTAATTAATCAATAGTTGAACATATTGTGCGGGTAATCAGACAGATATTTTATATACTATATTATACAGGGTGCGCATTATGTATGGAATGTAGTATACAGGGTGTTTTTTTGGGAGCTTTAGTTAAAAGTTTCTGGAAAAGTAAAATAGGTAGGTTTTTGAAAATTTGTACTTAGGGGTTACTCTGAAGGCCGAATCGATGTAAAATATTTTCAAAATGGCCGCACTTCCGGAAACACCGGAAGTAGATAGTAACTTCGTTATTTTAAATGGCAACCCCTATTTTTTATTGCATTTTTGGATTCTACGTGAAATTTCAGTTCTTTTGATACCCATATGTCGATATCTGCCATTTATGGTTTTTAAGTTATTTTGACTTTAAGAAAAAAAATGGCGGATGCAGATGGTACCTTGATAATTGATTACTTGAAAAAGGTTTATAGTCATGGCAACCCATTTTTATCAGTGCATAGAGAATGAATAGGGCTTTCTTTTAGTGTACTTAAAACAAAGTTAAGTTGCGTACAACCGCACCTATGGAGATCCAAATTTAAGAAACTTCAAAGTCTATAAACTCAGTTTTTTTAAATGGAATGACCATGTTCTTAATATTGCATGAGATAGAGAATCGAAATTGGCATATTTTGACTATACATGTTCCTATAGCTATCTTTAACAGTTTCTGATTTATTCCCATTTCATTGAATTGATCTCGGAATTGATGCCATTTTTTTCGCATTTTCTTTTTAGTAGTTGGCCATGATTTTATAACAATCGAATTTTAAACAAATCAAGGAATGGATTCTTTAATACCATTGATTCTAGTTCTAGTCTAAATAATTCATTAATAAATAACTCATTTATTAAGGATATAGGACGGAAAATTTTTGAAAAATCTAAACAGAGTCGTTCAACTGAATTTCTTAAACAACTTATAAGTCTGGAAATTCAGAAAGGTAATGCGATATCTGTTCTAGCAACAATTCCATACCAAAAATGTTTCAACGAAGTTTTTTTATATTTTGCATTGAATTTAATTTGTTAATCTTGCATTTGCAATTCAATTCATTTTCTTAAATATTCTCTTGTAGAGCTTTGTATCACTTATGCTTCAACGGTTTGTAGTGCATTAGGGGTACAAAATTTCCAAAATTCATACAATTTCGTTCCAGTTTTCGAATGAATGTAAGGAAAGCACGCGCCGCGATTCTGCCCATTTCACCATAAATAACAATTAAATTCCAAAATAGGTGAAACCACTGCGAGTCATTTTTCGATTTTTGAAAAACTTATGTTAACCTATAACAGTGGGTGATGGATTAGTGTCACTAGATTTGTTTAAAATTCAATTGTTATAGAATCATGGCCGACTACTAAAAAGAAAATCCGAAAAAAATAGTGTCAATTCAATAAAATGGGAATAAGTCAGAAACTGTTAAAGATAGCTATAGGAACATGTATTGTCAAAATATGCCCATTTCGATTCTCTATCTCATGGAGTAGTAAGAACATGGTCATTCCATTTAAAAAAACTGAGTTTTTAGTTTTTGAAGTTTCATAAAGTTGGATATCCATAGGGGCGGTCGTACGCAACTTAACTTTTTTTTAAGTGCACTAAAAGAAAGCCCTATTCATTCTCTATGCACTGATAAAAATGGGTTGCCATGACTATAACCTTTTTCAAGTAATCAATTATCAAGGTACCATCTGCATCCGCCATTTTTTTTCTTAAAGTCAAAATAACTTAAAAACCATAAATGGCAGATATGGGTATCAAAAGAACTGAAATTTCACGTAGAATCCAAAAATGCAATAAAAAATAGGGGTTGCCATTTAAAATAACGAAGTTACTATCTACTTCCAGTGTTTCCGGAAGTGCGGCCATTTTGAAAATATTTTACATCGATTCGGCCTTCAGAGTAACTCCTAAGTACAAATTTTCAAAAACCTACCTATTTTACTTTCCCAGAAACTTTTAACTAAAGCTCCCAAAAAAACACCCTGTATATCTCGGGAGATATCGAATATATATGAAATTATTCCCATAAATGCCAGCTTTCAGTTGTTTTTATTTCAGAAAACAAATGAGTAAGTAACGAAAAACAATTGAATTTTTTAATTGGCAATGCACCTTTTCATTAGGATCATTTGATAGATTTCTTTCCCTTTTCGATGATATAACATGTTAGCACCCTTATTCAAGAAAATTTTTCACAAAAATGTATCATAATTAGATGAATAAAATTAATCCAGATATCCTACATAAAAATAAAACAAATGAACGTGTACGTTTCTTATTAAACCTTGAAGACAAAACGAAATTAGCAGTAAAATGGTTTTCATCGCAATGAATGTTCAAAATGTTCATCATTCACTGCAAGGCAATGGCATAACCTATCCCAAACAAGTTGTAAATCAGCATATGCATGATTAAAGCGCATTTTTGGTAATACAGATTAGTATTTTATTAGTGAAGTTTAAAATTATCGATCTCACGAGTCATTTTGGCTGCGTTAAATAATTAATTTTATTTAATTTCAATTAAGGGTACGTCTTTATTTTGTAAAACAAATCACAAAGTAAATAATTAAGCTTTTATACTGGTAGCGCTATCTAACGGTAAAATTATAGCACCTCCAAAAACCATATCGAAATTATTTTCTTAAATTATCGATCTCACAAGTAATCTAACTCAAAATACACTAGAGCCTGCACATCTACACTATAGCAGAAAGCTTTTAGTAATAATTTGAGTCTCTAGCTATTGTAGTTGCTAAGATCTCAGCCGGACAGCCAGCCAGCCAGCCATAACGAATATAATAGGGTATTTTTTCAAAAATGCGCTAAAAACTTGAAATAAAAATTAACTTCTTCTACACGGGTGCCAACGTGTTATGTCATTGAAAAGAGAAAAGAAATCAAATGAGCCTAATGAAAATGTGCGTTGCTATTTAAAAAAATTCAATTATTTTCGTTATTCATTTGTTTTGTGGAATAAAAGCAATGGAATGCTGCTTTATTATGGGAAATAAAATGTTAAACAACTTTCATAATATAAAAAATTGTTGTATACATTCGAAATATATACTATATTCCATACATAATGGGCACCCGGTATATTTATATATTAAAATATTATTATATTATTTTTATTTTCATTAAATCAAACCTTATATTTATTTTCAGCGCGAGGACTGGAGCGGCCGCTCCACCCTCCATCATGATACGGTAATCGAATTACCCCCAACAATGGCAATTAGTGGATTTTCTGCGAATAATTGATCTAGATATCGTTTTAACACATACGATATGGTAAAAAAGACATTTCGTAGATCGAAGTCGAGATTGCAAAGAGAAACATAAACAATTGATGGCGATTGTGCGTGCACTTCAAATTTAAATGCCGCAACTGAGGGCAAAAATCAATTTCGGATAGATGCACGCGACGATGCCAATGTAAAATCGTAATTTATATTTGCCTACGAATGTACAAACAAAATGATGAATGGGCCATTATAAAAATTGTGTCTATGAAAGATTAATTCGCCTAGATACTTTTATAACTTGACATTGAAGATTATACGTAAACTTATTGATTACTAAATAATTTTCGGGGGTTGTTTAATGGGGATACCCGATATGAGTGATTAATTTATTAGACTTCTCAAAAAAACAATTCTAAATTTTGTTTGTGATATAAAAGTATAACGAAAATGTCACCAGAACAAAAAAGAGGGAATGGAATGAGAAACAAATAATGGAAGGAGGTAAAAGGGAAATAAGAACGGGGGCAAAAGACACAAACAAAAGATAGAAAAGATGTCAAAGAAATAAAAAAGGAAAGAAGAGTAACAAAAATCACACTACCAGAAAAGTAACAAAAGAAAATGGCAAAGAATATTACAACCCAAGGTGGAATAAAAGGGCGGAGAAATAGCTGGCAGAAAGTCGCAGGCGCGTTCCGTATCCCGAAAGGCATCCGTCGGAACAGGTAAATTTCAGAGGGTGGAGGAAACGGATAATGATCTGGGCGAGTTATCAGATTTATTGGCACATTTCTGTATTGGTGAACTGGCGGCCGTTGCAGTTCGTCACTTTCGGCGCTGACTCTGGTGCCGATGTCCAAGAAGCCTGTACCATTATGCCCTAGTACGAATAGAAGGCCGATTAGGCGCAATGGTATTTGGATAGAGAAAATCGAACCCGTTCGGGGGTTGTTTCCAAACATCTGCTACCTTCCACCTCAAACATTTAAACTCGGCCTTTATCTAAATTTAAAGGACCACCAAAAATATTCCGATGACGCCATTTCGCCCATAAAAAATTCACCCAGTTCATAATAAATAGCGAGCGTGGTTAACTCTGCAAACGTATAAGATCGTCGTCGGTTTCCCGCACGCGACCAGTGAAAAACTCCAACCAATTTCCCTCCTCACTTCAATCAAACAGGTGTGAAAATCGTTTTGTACTTTCACGATTGGAACACGCCCGGCGGAGGGGAAAGGTTTTGACCCAAAAATGCTGCGACAAATCAATAATCGACGTAATACACGCGCAGAGTTGAAGGTTAAGGTGTAAACCTAAACATTTTCATTTTCTAGAGGGAAGTGAAAGGACGGCAGTTTTTGAGGTCGAAAATTCGGAATAAAAAGCATTATCTTGATGACTGTTACATATTTTACCCGTTTGTGTAAATTTGTTCCTTGTATATCTATCGTGTAGATCTGGCTAGCTGTAATTAAGCTACAATGCAAGCATTGAAGACATATATTGCTTTGGAAACTTAATATTTGCCTATATCAGCAAATAATACCTACATTATTAGTTAATATCCATTTGCTCGAACTGACAGGGTAGAATTTTACATCAAATTGCACTGTAATGAAATATTCTGCTAATCAATAAAGAGCATTATTTAATTAAAAATACTGCCATATTTCATCAATTACCATTTTTGGGCAACAAATTAAAAAAATGCGCTTTATCGAAAAATGGCCTGCGGTGATGGTCCAAAATCCATTACCATAACACCGTTTATGAAATGAACTGTGGTATTTTGGGAGCCTTCTCCTCCACGTTTAACCGAAGGCACTTATTTGTCTCTGGGTTTAAGTTCTCCATCAGGTTGGCTTGTGGACGGAACATGGGGTAGCAACCCCACGATCCAAGTGACCGATGTACATTGTTCACCATTGCCAGACACGTTGACTCTTGCAATCTTACGAACACTTTAGTAATGACCTACCCCCACCGATAGGCAACCCATGATACAGCGAAAATAGATTCAAGCGACTGTTCTGCGACGCTGCCAGAGAACAGGGATTTTTTGCGACGAAGCTTGGAAAAAAGTCGGGTCACTAGATTCCGATTTTAGTAGAAAGTGCAAGAGCACTAGAGCGTATACTCCCCAATAAAGGAAAATCTTCCCTCCAGTAATCATTATCATATGATATATTCCGTATACCCTTATAAATAAAGCTTCGTCTGCTGGGGAGTATTCCATACCCCCCAGTACCACGTTTGATGGGGTTTTCCTGAAAACTGTAATGAGACTAGTCAGGTAGACGATTTTGGGAGAAAATACAACACCGGGGGCCAGGGGGGGATCTGGGGATATGGAATACCCGCCCATGAAAGCTCAAAAAAATCGAATGTCTTCCAAAGGCTTTTAAAAGCTCGCGCCACTTAATTGGAAGAGCGAATCTTTCTGTATGACTCTTGGATTATCTTTGATGGCCTTGGAAATTGCTTGCACTCTGAAAGGTCCTTTAAAACATGAACGTTTTTTTGGGAGGCATGAATCTCCTAAAGGAGCTTGGATTTTAATGCTTTAACTTATTTCATTTCTTATTTTAACGGATTTCAAAGGTCAATTGAAGGCTCCCAAAGACCTTGAAATTTCTCGTGGACTCTCATGGAAGCTAAAAGTTTTAAAGCGTTTAAGACTTTTCTTAGATGCTCTTAGCACTATTACCGACCTTTAACGGCGTTTGTTCTGTGTAATTGCAGGTAGTAATCAATTTATTCTTTCTCGTACTAACCATCAATCTTTGAATTTGAGAGGTTCAGCCTTGTATATACAGGGTGGCCAGCTAAGAATGCGAGGTACAGTACCTAGATAGACAGTAGATATCGAGATGCGTTTTTCGCGAGCTTGTTTAGGCATCATTTAGCTACTTTTTCAAGAAAAAAATCGAACCAGAGAAAATTAACCATTTCTGTCGGAATGTCGAAAAAAGCCCTCAAGCGGCGATATGTGAAACTAACAAAACTTCAAATATTATAATATTTGTAGCCGAAGAATAACTCTTTTTAATTAACCCGAGTTTGTTAAAATCGGCTCAGTCGTTTCGAAGATACAGGGTGTTCTTTACGGAAACCATTGAATACCCCCCCACCACTTCATTTTTAGAGATACAGGAAAAATTGTCAAACAAAAAAGGTTCAGATTATCGTCGTCTTCAAAGACCGGGTATTTTTTTGTTAGGTTAATATAGCGGAATTCACTGAAAAATCACTTTTTTAGATTCCACATTGCAGTTACGCTCCCTAGCGGCCATTTCAGAAACTTAAAAATATTTTCCAGGTTTTTCTCGTGGCCGTTTTAGTAATAAATTTTTTTACCGCAAGCCTCTACTATGGACAGGTTCCCAGATACAGTACCTCGCATCCTTATTTGGCCACCCTGTACAACGTACGATGATACATACGTTTTTGGGAGCTGGGGGAAAGCTGCCTGCCCCGTCTCGGAGAGCACGAACGTTTCTTACTCCTTGCTATCGCTCCGTAAATGTTTGTTGGTATTTTTTGTGTTATTTAAAGCAGGTAGTAAATTTTGCATTTCTTTCTAATTTATTTGTGTTTTGTACGCGACATTTTATATTTTGTTTTTCAAATTGACTTGATTTAACCTCAATGCAGAATCACGTCTGTGATACCGTTATCCTTTTGTATGATATCGTTTGCTTTATGTTTTGATCACACGGTCTTAATATTCCTATAAATTTTGATCATTCTCGAATTGTTTGAAGTTTGACGTATGTATGGACTATAACCACTCTGAGTTACGCCACCCTATGCCGGGACTGTTCTCGAAACGAAACTCAACTTTAGGCTGGGAACTCCAACAACCAGGGCTCATGTACCTGCCTCGGGGGCGAGACTCTGCTAACACAGAAACCCTTCGGTTTAGAATCTCCGTGCGATGACAACTTTAAGTGTTAATTATTTTAATTAAAAGGAACGATGATAGTATAATGTTACAATGAAAGGGATACTAAACAAGATTTACTTTTACAAGTCAACACCCGGCTTAGCGGTAAACAGATATTTGCGGCGAGAGGAAAGCTTTTAACTTAAACGATAAGAAGTAGTCACAAAGTTTCTTATGAAATGAAATTTCGCATGTGCGGAACTAACTATACTGTATTCATTTTAAGAAGGTAGCGGTAAAAAACATAGGGAAGATTTGATCTTCAGTGCGATTGGTTAAAACACAAGTCAGTATTACGCTGAAACATAAAACGAGTGGCGAATTTTGCAAGCTGGTAGTTTCTGTTGGCATCTAAGCTATTGAATTAACTGTTAATGTCAAAGATTGATTCGTGTTTGCAGTGCTAGATATTTCTACTTTACAATAATTTGGTGCCGTTTTATATTTTCTCTGTGTGTGCTTATCTTCAAACTCAGCGCCATCTACTACGTTCTTATAATGAATGAAGTATAGTACCAGAGAACTGTAAAGAAAGCCCATTCAAACATTGAGAGTGGGTGGTTTCATGTTGGGCTCAAACCATTGAATAAGCACTTTAAAGAAGTATAACTACATAGGAAAACCTGAAATTGGTGTAAGGTGTGTTGCATACACTGCAAAGTGGTTAATTACCACAAATATTGAAGGATATTTGGCCTCGGGCGGTAAATAATGACTATTTTAAACAGGGAAACCAGTTATACTTAGGGGTCCTTTGTTTTCCTTGTTTATCAGAGTTGAACAGTGTTGTCATATTTACCAGATCCTCAGCTAGAGCTAGGTAAAGTTTGATTGTTTATTATGTAAAGATAATGGTCCTTAGAACAGTACTTGTTGTTTTCTTATTAGATTAAACTACATTTTTTACTTTATTTATTGTTCCTTATGATCTTACATTTCAGATTGATCCTCCCTTACATAATATTGTTATTGGCATTGAATAAAAGCAATGTTTTAATCTAGTTTATTCAAACTCAAAGCGCTTGCCAAAAATCTGGCAACGTTGGAATTTTAAAGAAGTAAAGAAATCTGCAAAGTCGGTAACTAACTTTAAATTTGTGGTTCACTTTTCCCCCACAACAGAGGGACGACAGAATCCTGGGCAGATTTTCTTATTTCATCAGTTAACACGGGCGTTAGACTTCTTTAAGGTGCTTATTCAATGGCTCAAACCAAAACCGTTGATAGCTACTTACTCGCTTCCTCTGGACGAAAGATACGCTACGCCATTCTCTTGATTTCCCGGACTATTTCCTCTCGAACGTACCGCGCGCCGCTCCGTACCGTTCGCCTGCGGAACGCGTCGATTGGGACTGCGAAACGTTTGCGATTTATCCAGACTGGCTCTCGCGTTTTTTCGAAACGTCTCCCGCAGGGGACTGTTCCCTCTGGAGTTTGGCGGAGTTCCTTTCCCGCCACGAATGACCATCATCGTTCACCTCTGACGCATTTTATCTGCAACATGCGACACTGTATTAATGCATTTCGGAGTACTGCTATTTTTATTGATCTCAACCTTTGAATTAAAAGTTATGTAGATGAGCACGCGATGTCAATTTCGCGGTTCAACAGCGTAAAGCTTCTATTTAACAGAAGAGTCGGAGGGAAGAGTGTTTAATTACCAATAAAGGTGCTGGTTTTTTAGCAGTGTATAAATATATGAGTCCATAAAGGGCCTTAAGAGATTTTTAGAGTCAAAGAGCCTCGAACAGTCGCAATGGTCCTTAGAAGCTTTTGAATCCATTGAAATTTTCCCATTGAGAGTCTTAAACGGTCTTCCAGGCCAGGTCGAGGGTCTTTTAGCGTTTTCAAAAGTCTCCAACCCCAACAAGCTTTTAAAACCCATAATAGACGTTTAGCCTTTACGAGTATAAGGACCTTTAATTGAGTTCAACGATCAGTGCTATTGAATATGAGCCTGATTAAAAGTCTGCTTTTCGAATGTGATCCGAGTCGCACTGAAATTCGTATGCGATTCTTCGTATCTTGATTCTATAAACATTTAAGACGCTCTAGGGGTTCCAACGTTCTCAACAGCCTCCAAAAAGCTACAAAAACGGCATCTATAGGCTTTAAAATCCTTTAGTTAGCGTTTAGCCTTTAAGAGTCTAATTAAGAGCTTAAAGAAATTAAATTGATGATGGTTTCGCTAAGACGAAACGTCAGATTGAAAACTAACAATTAAAGAGCATTAATTTTTGCGGGAGAAAAGTCATTGGTTTTGCTCCAGGTCAAATGTTAACGCCAAAAAATCCGATTTTTTCAAAATATTTTCTAACCCAAAAAATTTTCGGACACAGTGTATACTAATATGCTTTTAGCACAATAAAATACGTGGCTCGCAGTGCTAGATACTTACGATTGCAATCTTATTCAAAACTCATTGAGTAAACACTGTTCGAGTGTAGTCACATATACCTACAAGAAAAACGCGCGAAGTTTTCGTAGTAAGGGTAGGTTAAGTGTAATATCGCGTGCAAACAACGTTATATGGGGGCACTTTAAATGCGCGTGTTAACCGCCCGCTTTTGCCCATCAAACTGATAACGAGAAAAACGTATTGGATAGCGTCGATTTTACGCCATGGATACCAATGCTGTCAATTAATACACACATACAATTCGGCCTGCGCATATTTATCATTTCCCGCAACCGTTACCAATTTACGTGCCTTATTATCGAATCAGGGAGCTATTGTGATTTTGATCGACAGCGTAATCCTTTCTAATTGTTGCCTAAAATTCGAGGAAATTGCGTGTATAGACTTTACCGGGCCGTTAGCCTACCACTTAATGAAACGGTACGTCAGTTTTTCCTTTGAGAAATCACTACCCTTACATCGAAGAACGGAATATCACAATTAATTTTTCGGGGCGTTTATTTTAACACTTCAATCTCTATATTTAATTGCCGGTCTTGATCAAAATACACACGGTCACAAAAAATGGACTCCTACTTGCGACTGGCTACTCGCCAGATAATTTACCAATTTTTCCCTTAGGGTTATAACAGACATCAAAAGCACTAATTAATCGTCTTTAAACTTTTTAACGGTTGCCGTTTAATTCTGAATCACTTCAAGTGTCAACGCAACGAATTATTGTGTACTTTTGACCACAATGCTTTCGTGGTCAAAATGGTCGCAACTGAACAACGTAACAAAGAAAGATAGTTGCGAGTTGCCCCGAATGGGTGACACAACACAACTTAATACAAAGAAAAGAAGTAAAATACCTTGATTATCTGGTTTCAGAAGTAGGAGAAGTAAAAATGTGTAACATCCGTTACATCTCTTTCGGAAACAATCCCCCTAGAGTGCATAATTTTGTTAAGCTCTATCATTTCTTCACATTTTTAGAAGCAATTAAATTAAAATTATTTTCATACAGGACTGGAACTTTCCAAGGATTTCAATATCAAATTGTTTGATGGACTTGAAACAGTTTCAGAGTATCAAAAATAGGAACTTGAGGTAGAAACCACTAACTGTGTTGATGAGAGGCTAGGTAATCAATTCTGTTTCAGATGATTGGGCGAGTTCTTACAAGATCTTTGAGTTCTATTTCCTCGTGTCGTGCGGATCTTTTGTAACCATTGGCCCTCATCGGGCCTGGCGTTACGGTCGTGTACCTACCAACGACCCCTAAATAATTCTAAATAAAGCGCTCCTAGAAAACAAACCGCTCCATTTTTAATGTCACCCGGTGAACTTTACCTACACCCTCAAGTTTGGGTCATCTCGCCGACTTTCAGCAGGAAGAAAGGGGGTTCGTTTCGTCCTCCCACTTTACCCCCATATCGTAAAACCAGTTTCAACATCTTAGCGGTTATTCGTCTATTTACGCACAACCGTTAGCATTTCGAGCCGGTAGCTTAGAATAAGGGTAACGTGACATTTGTCGGAAGCTTTTTGAAGCCGCAATTTAAACAATCAACCGCTCGCGGAAGGTGTAAGCGCGCGGGAAGCTTCTCCAGAGGATTCGGTCGCGGATCAGTGCCGCTTCGAAGACGGTTACGGGGACATTCAATTTACGAGGGCTTTTTTTAAGTTGAATACAATGTGAGCAGTGTGTGGCAGCTGTCTGGGTGTACAGGTGCGAGTCTCCCCTGAGGTAAGAAGTTCAATGTTAATTAAATGGATTATTTGCTTAGCGGACTTCGTGCGTAATTATAGATCAATGTTACTCATAAAAGCCGGTTACTTTTATATAAGGATGAAAGAAAGTCATGAGATGATCGGAAGACTTTCTACTGTGTACGCGAATACATTACCCTAGATAATTATTTAAGGAGATTAATTAGGGGGTGTGACACCTGCGGTGATATCATTATGATTCACCTGGGTGACTAAGTGCATTTTCTAGATTGCCATTTTTGTGCAAGAAAGTAGTTTTTGCCCGTGAAAGTAAGCGACTGGGTCAGGAAAGTTCACAAGTGAACTTTATTGTGTGGATTTAACAATGCTAATTAAATTGTCTAATTTTATACGCCCGGAACCTCTGCGCAATTATCTAACATCGGAGAATATTAACTTTTACTTTTGTGACCTTCTTTGACTCGGAAAGCCTCGTCGTCTAAAAAGTGGCACAAAAACGCTCATCCAAAAAAGATGCAATTTGAACAGACACCAACCGAGTTAACGACCCATTTATAATGTCTGGTAATATCCGCAGTGACCTCACTTTTCCTTAACTTCTGTAAGAAAAAAGTGATGACCTATTACCATTTGTACAGTGAATCAATCGTTTATGCTTTCATTGGACGTAAATATTAATATTAAACAAACATCCGTCTGTTTAATCTGATAGGAGACGTTTATATTAGAATAGATTAATATTTTCCCTATTGATGAGTGACAAATTGAATTTTAATGTTTGAATATGTTTACGTTAGTGCCTTAATTATGATGCAATCTGTGTGTCAGCAATTAATGAGAGTTACGTAAAAAAATTTCTTCAGTTCTGTACAAATAGTTATTTAAATTTTCGCTCGAAATTCTCCTATTCAAATTGGAGCCACTGCACCGTGGATTAATTAATATTGGTTATGGGGTGCCACAAGGAAGTACTTTGGGGCTAATGTTATTCCTTAGGTCATGATGTTACAGTTACAAGTTATGTGAACGACTTGCGGTTTTTATCGCATTTTCCAGTTTTTCTGAACGACAGTTGTCCGTCCAAGCATTCGATTCGTGCGTTAGCTCCTTTCATTATAACAAATTAATAAAAGGCTTCCGTATTTACATGTGCTAGTAGCTGATGAAATTTGGGCAGCAATCGATGTCACTCTTAGTACTTAATTTAGAGCGGATTATATCTAAACTTAACCCCCCTCCTCACTGCGTACCACGACACAAAAACGAAAAATTACCCCGAACGTACAGAAAAAACTGCACAATTAAATACAAAACCTAACCTAAAATTTACTACACTGCCTTTTTTTGAGCCCAAAAAAAATTGTCTAAGATCGACCCGGAAAAAAAATTTTCTTATAGAATGTGGCCTGTAGAATCCATAATTTCAAACAGTTCCAAGATTGGGCTACTAGTTCAAAAGTTACAGCCTTTTGAATTTTTTTTCGAAATTGGTTTCTAGTCTATAACTTTTGATTGAGAAGTCTGATCGAAAAAGTACGAATTGATTTGGATTCTACGCACCCAAATTAATAAGAAAAAGTGTTTTCCCGAGAAATTTTGGTGTAGTCGATTTTTGGTACACTGCCTTTTTTTGAGCCCAAAAAAAATTGTCTCAGATCGACCCGGAAAAAAAATTTTCTTATAGAATGTGGCCTGTAGAATCCATAATTTCAAACAGTTCCAAGATTGGGCTACTAGTTCAAAAGTTACAGCCCTTTGAATTTTTTTTCGAAATTGGTTTCTAGTCTATAACTTTTGATTGAGAAGTCTGATCGAAAAAGTACGAATTGATTTGGAATTAATAAGAAAAAGTGTTTTCCCGAGAAATTTTGGTGTAGTCGATTTTTGGTAAAAAAGGAAGGTTATACACTGCCTTTTTTTGAGCCCCGAAAAAAAATTGTCTCAGATCGACCCGAAAAAAAAATTTTCTTATAGAATGTGGCCTGTAGAATCCATAATTTCAAACAGTTCCAAGATTGGGCTACTAGTTCCAAAGTTACAGCCCTTTGAATTTTTTTTCGAAATTGGTTTCTAGTCTATAACTTTTGATTGAGAAGTCTGATCGAAAAAGTACAAATTGATTTGGATTCTACGCACCTAAATTAATAAGAAAAAGTGTTTTCCCGAGAAATTTTGCTGTAGTCGATTTTTGGTAAAAAAGGAAGGTTATACACTTCCTTTTTTTGAGCCCCGAAAAAAAAATTCTCAGATCGACCCGGAAAAAAAATTTTCTTATAGAATGTGGCCTGTAGAATCCATAATTTCAAACAGTTCCAAGATTGGGCTACTAGTTCAAAAGTTACAGTCCTTTGAATTTTTTTTCGAAATTGGTTTCTAGTCTATAACTTTTGATTGAGAAGTCTGATCGAAAAAGTACGAATTGATTTGGATTCTACGCACCCAAATTAATAAGAAAAAGTGTTTCCCGAGAAATTTTGGTGCAGTCGATTTTTGGTAAAAAAGGAAGGTTATACACTGCCTTTTTTTGAGCCCCGAAAAAAAAATTGTCTCAGATCAACCCGGAAAAAAAATTTTCTTATAGAATGTGGCCTGTAGAATCCATAATTTCAAACAGTTCCAAGATTGGGCTACTAGTTCAAAAGTTACAGCCCTTTGAATTTGTTTTCGAAATTGGTTTCTAGTCTATAACTTTTGATTGAGAAGTCTGATCGAAAAAGTACGAATTGATTTGGATTCTACGCACCCAAATTAATAAGAAAAAGTGTTTTCCCGAGAAATTTTGCTGTAGTCGATTTTTGGTAAAAAAGGAAGGTTATACACTGCCTTTTTTTGAGCCCCGAAAAAAAAATTGTCTCAAATCGACCCGGAAAAAAAATTTTCTTATAGAATGTGGCCTGTAGAATCCATAATTTCAAACAGTTCCAAGATTGGGCTACTAGTTCAAAAGTTACAGCCCTTTGAATTTTTTTTTCGAAATTGGTTTCTAGTCTATAACTTTTGATTGAGAAGTCTGATCGAAAAAGTACGAATTGATTTGGATTCTACGCACCCAAATTAATAAGAAAAAGTGTTTTCCCGAGAAATTTTTGTGCAGTCGATTTTGGTAAAAAAGAAAGGTTATACACTGCCTTTTTTTGGAGCCCCGAAAAAAAAATTGTCTCAGATCGACCCTAAAAAAAATTTTTCTTATAGAATGTGGCCTGTCGAATCCATAATTTCAAACAGTTCCGAGATTGGGCTACTAGTTCAAAAGTTACAGCCCTTTGAATTTTTTTTCGAAATTGGCAATCGCCACCCGCCCCCCGTGCCAGTCCGCCCCTGAATCTACCTATGTCTTTTTTTCCAAGAATCATTCGTATCCATTTATTTCCTCCCCCCCCTCTCACCGCGCGCCTCACTCATGTTTTCCCTTGCTCTTTAAACCTCTACAACCCCATAGCATGTGCGCTATGCCTCTCTCTTTCTCTCCACAAATTCTGCATTTTGTGGTCCGCCATAAATTCAACTTATAGCCTCCACATGAGAGAAAAATGTATCTCGGTTCTAAACTAATTCGAGATCGCACAAGAATCCAGTACAATACTGGAATTACACATATGTACTTGAGAAAATAAAACCACAGTTTTCAATTACCTCCATGTGTGGGTGAAAATCCAGCCTCATTTCTTATTTCATCCCTCCCGGCCCCTTCAGTCTCTTTAATTCTCCTGCTTTATCTTGATAATTATGGTGCTGTTTCCAGTCCTCTGATTGTATTTCTCCCCTATTCCCTTTTCCTCTATTTGTCATCTTCCAGGGGTTCTCTGTATTCTTTCCATTTCTCCAACTTTTGTTGTTTACATTTTCTTTTGGCGTGACTTCTTTTTCTGTTCTCTCAGCTCCTTCTCCTTTTCTTTCTCTCTCCATTATTATTCTATATCGGTTTCTCCCTTCTGTGCACTATGTTTCCTACTATACGGCTCCACAGTGTCTCTTCTCCATAATTGTTCCTCCTATCTTTCCTTGTTAACTCATTTCTATCCCTTGGTGATCCTTGTTCCTGCTTTAAACTCTTCTTCCATTTCTTCTAGTATTTTTTTCCTGTAATCAATTACCGATCTCCTTCTTCCTCGCATGTAGTTCCACGATTATCACCTTATTTCCCATACTTCTGGTCTCATTTATAGTAGGAGAGTCAGTGATATAAGGCCTATGTTTTGTTAGAATGTTTGAGGGGTGTCATCCGTGAGGAAAAACCCCGATAGCGGTATGAGAGAGACAGAACGCCTCCAACCTGTAAAAATTATGATCAAAATTATTATTCAGTTAAGGTTGCAGTTTTTCTTATTATTCGTTCGACTCTCCCTTTTCCTTCTGTGCTCCGTTTATCGTTTTCCATCCTTCTTCAAATTTTGCTATCCTGAACTCGCATCGAATCGCTCTCCGATATATCTCCTGAAAAAGAAAGATTCATCTTTAGTCCTCAATTAGCGAACGCCCGAGGGGATGAAATCCGCCGTCGTTTACCGCCCCAAAAAAAGGGGACGAAAAGTGATCTAGCATTTTTCATAAATTTAAAGTGGCGCTCGATAGGGGAAGAGAACCATGAACCAAAATGTATTTGTGGAACCTTCCCCAAGTATGTTTGAGCAAACTTGCTCGTCTTTATCGTCGCTCACTTTGAGAAAGTATCATTATCTACCTCAGTATCGCAACTTCTACGGTAATGGTTGTTGTGGGCGATAACAACGTAGATTATTGAATAAAAAGGCGCCTTTAACTCTGCGTGCAAAATTTTGTACTGTTTAGGCATAGTCACAACGAAAGAAAGCACTACAATTTTCTCTAGTCCACTTAAACGTAGGTAAAAAGTGTAAGTTACTAGTTGTACATAATCAATATTTTAATTAACGTCCAGATAAGATAATTGTTATCAGTTATTGTCAATTAGATCGACGATTACTTGCACGAAATAAAGGTGCACTAGGTGTGGTTCAAAGTGGTTGAACGGTAAGTCCTTTTTGCTAGCTGCCAACATATTCTTGTCGCCAATAAGGCGATATGTTATCTTCAGGAAACACTATTTGATCGATGGGGGTTAAAGCCATGAACTCGATCTGCTTGTTTTGTGCTATTGAAACTGTGTCGTTGTCTTTTAGTTTATCGGCTGCGGTCATTTTGTTGGATGATAAGGTGCTAATTGTCGTTTTTACCTTGAGATTTTTGTTCCTAATTTGCGTGCGCGTGTGTCAGTTGCTTTAGTGCAGTTCTTCAATGATCGTATAAGCACTTCCAAAGGCGATTTTCTGACACTACGACATCTACAATCATGTAGCTCATACAAACGATTTCTTCCAGAATAATTGCTGTGGATAATGGAGAGGCACTTGGAAGATAGAGATAGAGTGGGCGTTGCCGACGCTGTGCTGTTGGAAAACTACACCAGCGAACAAGCCTTCGTTGACAACTTGGAGAAGCGGTTTCGTGGAAACATCATCTACGTAAGCCCAGTTTCGTAATCGCGCCCGGACTAATATCACATTTTAGACCTACATCGGCCCTGTACTGGTTTCGGTTAACCCATACAAGGACATTAACATTTACGGACTCACCTACGTGGCGATCTACGAGAACAAAAACTTCTTCGAAGTGCCCCCTCACGTGTAAGTTCCTCCTCTCGCCCTTCACCATGTGCACCGAACCTCTTCCAGATTCGCCCTAACGGACACCGCGTACAGATCCCTGAGGGAGGAAAATCGCGAACAGTGCATACTGATATCCGGCGAGTCGGGTTCCGGCAAAACCGAGGCGTCGAAGAAGGTCCTGCATTACATCGCCGCGGTGACCGAGCATCGCGGCGTGGTCGAGCAGGTCAAAGACAAACTTCTCCACTGCAATCCGCTGCTGGAAGCGTTCGGTAACGCGAAAACGAACCGAAACGACAACTCGAGCAGGTTCGGCAAGTACATGGACGTGCAGTTCGATTTTCGCGGCCTACCCGTCGGCGGCAATATATTGAACTATCTCCTAGAGAAATCCCGAGTGATTAACCAGGCGCCCGGCGAGCGTAACTTTCACATTTTTTACCAGTTGCTAGCCGGAGCGAGCGAGGAGCTTTTGAGCAGCTTGCACTTGAAGCGCAACCTTGGCAGCTACTACTATTTAAGTCATGGGGTAAGTTTTTCACTGGGTTCTTGTCCTAGCTTCTTTTGCAATTAAGCGGTTCTTCTCTTGGGTGCCGCCGAGGAAATCTTACACATACCTACAGAACAGGAACAGGAACCCAATTTCACTTTCGCCAAGACGAGAGGAATCCCCGAGGGGGTAACATCTTCCCGCAATACTGTCACAAATTGTCTGCAATCGCTTGCAATCCCTCTGATTGCTGTGGAAATCTCCCTCACAGTCCCACAATCGCGTTTGCAATCTCACAATCGCCTAAAATAATCCCGCAATCAGATTCGCAATCTCGCAATCGTTGTGACAATCTGACAATCACATTGGCAATCGGACAGACGGACACCATCAACTTCCTTATAAAGCTTACATAGCTTTCCTCTGCCGCTTAATAATCTACAAATATAGCATATTAACTTTTAAAAAATATAATACACTAAGGATGATTCAAAAAGGGCTCAAAAAAGATTTAAAAAAAAAGGTAAAACGATTTGATAAATACAACAAAATTTCAAAAACATTTTGAATCTTTCGGTTTTTTAAATCTTTTGAATCTATTGAAATCAATATGGAATTTTTGTAGTGTTACATTTTCGAAAATAGATTCTTAATATGTTAGTTTTTGATTAAAATATTTCAATTTAAAAATGGACGTAGGAAATTCAAAAAATTGTAAATCTCAGAATGAACCTATACACGGTGTCCATTTTTCGAGTGCCACTATGGGGATCTCACTTATCTTAAGAGATAGAAAGTTGGTTAAATGAGAACAAAGTTGCCAATTTTCGTGCCGAATAAGAATTTGAAAAGAAATTTGAAATATCTCCAATACTAATCGTAGTAGACATTTCTAATTACCGCATTATTCGGACACTTTTTAATGGAGATTTCAAATATGGCATCCTGTTTTTAATAACTTTCAAGATGACGCAGAAACACGTGGCAACTTTAGTTTTTCTTATGGGCGCCATTTTAAATTTTCACATTTTGGGATTACGTCTTTTTTTCTCTTTACAACGATATATCACGCATGGTGGTTCAGTATCACATTTTTCCTAAAAATACAATTTTTAATTATTTGAGAAGAGTGCTTTGGAAAAAGAAAACGTTCTTTTGTTTTGAACAAAAGGTTGACTTATTTCATGTAATAGTGCCATTTAGGTTTATGTTAGTTGTGGCCATGTGGGCATTTCGATGAGAAGTATAGTAAATTTGGATCATATCTGTTTGATCTGCACTTGAAAAATGCATTTTCGCATACAACTAGCATAAACCTAAATGGCACTACATGAAATAAGTCAACCTTTTGTTCAAAACAAAAGAACGTTTTCTTTTTCCAAAGCACTCTTCTCAAATAATTAAAAATTGTATTTTTAGGAAAAATGTGATACTGAACCACCATGCGTGATATATCGTTGTAAAGAGAAAAAAAACGTAATCTCAAAATGTGAAAATTCAAAATGGCGTCCATAAGGAAAACTAAAGTTTCCACGCGTTTCTAAGTCATCTTGAAAGTTATTAAAAACAGAATGCCATATTAGAAACCTCCATTAAAAAGTGTTCGAATAATGTGTTAATTAGAAATGTCTACTGTGATTAGTTTATCATAAAAAAATTAAAAACGAAAATCAGAAATTTTCGGTTTTTTTTGCGATATCTTCAAAACTATTGAAGATATTTCAAATTTCTTTTCAGATTCTTATTCGGCACGAAAATTGGCAACTTTGCCCTCATTTAACCAACCTTCTATCTCTTAAGATTAGTGAGATTTCCATAGTGGCACTCGAAAAATGGACACCGTGTATAGGTGCATTCTGAGACTTCCCCAGAATTTTGGTGCAGTCGATTTTTGGTAAAAAAAGGAACGTAATAACTGCTTTTTTTTGAGCCCCGAAAAAAAATTGTCTCAGATCGATCCGGAAAAAAATTTTCTTATAGAATGTGGCCTGTAGAATCCATAATTTCAAACAGTTCCAAGATTGAGCTACTAGTTCAAAAGTTACAGCCCTTGGAATTTTTTTTTGAAATTGGTTTCTAGTCTATAACTTTTGATTGAGAAGTCTAATCGAAAAAGTACGAATTGTTTTGCATTCTACGCACCAAATTTATTAATAAAAAGTGTTTTCCCGAGAAATTTTGGTGCAGTCGATTTTTGGTAAAAAAGGAAGCCTTTTTTTGAGCCCCGAAAAAAAAATTGTCTCAGATAGATCCGGGAAAAAAATTTTCTTATAGAATGTGGCCTGTAGAATTCATAATTTCAAACAGTTCCAAGAATGGACACCGTATATTTATTAAAGGAGGCATAGAAAGATTTTTCCTACATGTGTCTTTATAAGACTGTTGAATAATGTGGCATTTTAAAATAAGTGTACGGGATCAGGTAAAAAAGTTATAGAACCTAACCCGAGACCTAACGTCATTTTTTTTTTAGTGGAATGCTCTGTAAATTTCATTCGAAAAAGAGCATATTAAATTCATTTTCTAGAAATATAACACTAAAGAAATTTAAAAAGTGCAACATTAGATTTTTCAAAAAATTTCAAAATGTTTTTTAATAATTTTGAATTTTTTGTTTTCCCTATCTATTGCGATTGCGTTATATATTAAAAAAGAAAATGTTAATACGCTATCTTTTTAGATTAAAACATACAGGGTGGTCTATTTAAAAAATGAGGTTAAGTCCAGTAACTTTTTTGCGGGCATCGTATATGTAACCTATTTTGAAAACGACAGATTACCGAGCAAGTAATTTTGTAATAAACATTTTTTCGTGTCCCTTTTCATTCTGATATTGACAACTTTTGATTTTCCCTTGTATCTCTGTAAGCGAGCGAATGTTTTCAAATTTTGATTGTGCCATTTTTTAACATTGGCCCAAAAAGAGCACATGCCACTTAGTTTGTCTTTCGGTATGTGTGATTTGAGTGGACCACCCCCCTATTACATTTATCGGATTGTATAGAACTTGTTCCATACTCTTCTTTTTAGCACATTTCCACAAAAATAAAAAAAATTCCGTCCGTCCCTACTTTTTTCGCTATTGGGTCGTTATGCTGTCAAGGTTTGCACCAAGGAAGGAATTTTTTCTGTGCCGCTTGCGAAAAAAGTTATGGTAAAAAACCCATTTTTTTGAGATTGTATTGTATTGCTGTCTGTCTGTATGCCCGTCTGTCAGTGTATCTGTCTGTCTGTTTGTCCGTCCGTGTACACGATAGCTTTTGTATTTTTTATTTGTTAAATACTTAAATGAAACTTTTTATGTAGGCTGTAGATGTAGATGGCGAGTCGACTAAAGTAAAACTAGTGCCGAGTCAAAAAATATGTTGGGCTCATGCGCAATCGGATTTTTTTTATTTGTTAAGTTATTTAAATGAAATTTTCTATGTAGGCATCTCGAATAAAGATGAAACTAATGCCAAATCAAATAATTTGTTTTGCGCATGCCCAGAAATACCCTGAAATCACCTGCAATCATCTGCAATCATTCATAATCACATGCAATCACAATGCAATCCTCTAAAATTCGACAATCGCATCGCAATCATGGGGATTGTCGCAATACTGTCACAAAATTTGAGAAGATGTTACCCCTTCGGGGGGGGGGGGGGTTACTGACTTGTTAGTGGTTTTTGTTTCTAATCAAAAATATTAGGAAAAGTCAAACGTGGACAATTTGGACGACAAAAAAGCGTTTGATGATGTCGTACGAGCCTTGAGAACCTTAGAGTTTTCCGACGAGGAGCAAAAAGAAATATGGCAGATTGTGGCCAGTGTACTTTACCTGGGTAACGTCGGGTTTACGGAACAGGACGGAGTAGCGCAACTGTCCAAGCGTGAATCAGTAGAGCTATCCAGCAAGGTAATTAAGACCCCCCCCGTGAAGGCCTCCCTTGATATCGTGTTTTACAGTTACTTGGGGCGAATGAAGAGCTGCTGACGAATGCACTGACGCATCGTACCATTACGGCACACGGTGACGTTGTGGTGACGCCTTTAAATCGCGAATTGGCGATTTACGCACGCGACGCCCTCGCCAAGGCGGTTTACGACAGGCTATTCACGTGGCTGGTCGAGCGACTGAACAAATCCCTCCAACCGGACGACCGGCGCAAACACATCGCCATGGGAATTCTCGACATTTACGGCTTTGAGATATTCGAAAAGAACAGGTAAGTGTCCCCCCACCTCCAACACTGAGAGAGTCACCGTTCTTGTACAGCTTCGAACAGCTCTGCATTAACTTCTGCAACGAAAAACTTCAACAACTCTTCATCGAGTTAACGCTGAAGTCGGAGCAAGAAGAATACCTCAAGGAAGGAATCGAGTGGAGCAAGGTGGATTACTTCGACAACCAGATTATATGCGATCTAATCGAGGAAAAACACAAAGGCATAATTGCGCTAATGGACGAGGAATGCCTGCGACCGGGAGACACCACCGACGCCACGCTTCTGCAAAAAATGAACGACAGCTTCAAAGCGCACAAGCACTACATCAACCACCAAAAGGCGGACAGCAAGCTGCAGAAGCGCATGGATCGCGAGGACTTCCGGCTTATCCACTACGCCGGCGACGTCACTTACAGTATTAACGGATTCCTGGAGAAAAATAACGACTTACTCTTCCGCGATCTCAAAGATGCGATGTCGAAGTCCACCAACAATATTATCAACACAATCTTCCCTAGTAAAGAGCAAGAGTCGCTGAAGCGGCCCGAAACTGCCATAACCCAGTTCAAAACCTCCCTGAATCATCTCATCGAGATTTTAATGGACAAGGAGCCCTCCTACATTCGCTGCATTAAACCCAACGACATCAAACAAGCAGGTATATAGGTTTACGAATGCCGGCGGGGTTCGTATTTTCACGCAACCGTTTCAGGCGCCTTCGACGAAACGTTGGTCAGCCACCAGGTGAAGTATTTGGGCCTGATGGAGAATCTGCGCGTGCGCAGGGCGGGCTTTGCGTATCGCCGAGTTTTCGAGAAGTTCCTCCAACGCTACAAGAGCTTGTGTAAGGAGACTTGGCCTAATTGGCACGGTGCGCCCAGAGAGGGCGTGCAAGTTTTGGTGAACGCGCTAGGGTACTCCAAGGATGAGTACCGACTTGGAAGGTGAGTGGTAAATGAATCACCTCTCAAATACTTACACTTGTTGCTTGCAGGACGAAAATCTTCATTCGTTTTCCCAAGACGCTTTTCCGCACCGAAGACGCCTTCCAAGAGAAAAAGCACGAGCTGGTCACAAAGCTCCAGGCGCGCTACAAGGGGCTGTTGCAGAGGCGGCGATATTTGTATCAGAGGGCCTGCATTATAAAAGTTCAAACTTGGGTGCGTCGACATCAGGCGCAGGTGTTGGCGGAGAAACGTCGTCGCGCCGCTGTCGTCGTGTCAAGGTAGTCCTCCCAAATACGCTATAATGTTAATATCGTTGGGGTTTAGGCTCGTTAAAGGATTTTTGACGCGCAACGGGCCCGAAACGGAGCTGAACAAGAAATTTTTGCAAATTGCCAAGGCCGAATGGCTGAAGAGATTGGCAAAGTCTCTACCTCAAAATATCCTGCTGCGGAAATGGCCCCACTGCCCACACGCGTGCCAGGAGGCGTCGGGTTTGCTGGAGAAGTACTACGCCTCGCACATGTCGCGGGTGTATCGCTACAAGCTCACGCCCGAGCGGAAGGAACAATTTGAATTGAAGGTCTTGGCCGAAACGCTATTGAAACGTGAGTTCCTCTTTCGATCTAGCCGACTTACAGTTCTCGTCCGTAGACAAGAAGAAGAGTTACAAGGCAAGCGTTCCCCATCTGTTCGTCAACAACCGAATCCCGAAAGAGTCGCACGAGGTGCTTAAGGAATACTTGGGACAGGCTCTATCTTCAACTGGCGAGAAGGAGAAGGTAGGGTGTGAGTGATGTTACTGTTTTAACGTTATCCTCTCACAGTACACTACAACCGTAATGAAGTACGACCGACACGGCTACAAGCCGAGAGAGCGAGTGGTGGTCGTCACCAACAAGGCCTTCTACCTGTACGAGGTCACCAAGACAGTGAAGCAGAAGCATCGGTTCTCGATCGACTCGATCAACTTCATCGTCACCAGCGAGAAGGACAGTGTGTGCATGGTACGAATACCCGAGGAGCTCATCAACAAGAATAAGGTAAGAGAAACACACTCCGATACCCTCAACTGCACAAAACAATGTTGCAGGGCGACTTAATCCTGGAAATGCCGCATCTTATTGAAGCACTCACCAAAATAATCGACTTGACTAAGAACTCAAACCAACTGTCAATTTTGGACTCGAGAACGTAAGTGATAGACGCCCTAACACGTTAACAAATATTCTTTTAGCATCGAGCACAACATGCAGCAGGGCAAACACGGAGTGATTGAAATTACCACCGGAAATCCGCAAAGTATTCATAAAAGTAAAAGTGGAAATTTGCTTATTGTAAGTTTAACCGATTGTGAGGTAAATGAATTTTGAAACTCTCTTTCAGGTCGCTTCCCCTTGACGGTGGAGCGCGGGATAGCTTACTGTGTACCTACCTATGTATTTATTAAGTGCCATTTAATGTACAGTTTTACATATTTTCTAAGTGTATTGGTGCCAATACAGTTTATCGATAAGCTTTGTTACATTAAACTGTTGAGTTATTAAGTTTCTTGACCCTGATGGGTAGAATGTTATTCGATGGTGAGGATACACCATTGAGGGAGCAGGTCGATCCAAAAACCTTTCCCCATTTTTGGGCAAGTAAAAGCAAAAATTTACACACAAATAACGATAACACCTTTCGCCATAAAGAGGCAATACCTACACATCTTAAACAGTGGTGGTACTGCTAACAAAGACTTTTCGATTTTCAACGTTTATAATCTATGTACGATATAAGTCGCAATTCACTAATGTCCACATATCCAGAAGGCCGATTTTGCAATTTTTCCTCTATCGAATGACGTAAAAATGCAGAAAATTAATCAGCATAAAATGCTGCATAAACTCACCCTGTATAATAACATAATATACACGGTGTCCATTTTTCTCACTTATCTTAAGAGATAGAAAGTTGGTGAAATGGGGGCAAAGTTGCCAATTTTCGTGCCGAATAAGAATCTGAAAAGAAATTTGAAATCGCAAAAAAACGAAAATTTCTGATTTTCGTTTTTAATTTTTAAACTAATCGTAGTAGACATTTCTAATTAACACATTATTCGGACACTTTTTAATGGAGATTTCAAATATGGCATCCTGTTTTTAATAACTGTCAAGATGACGGAGAAACACGTGACAACTTTAGTTTTTCTTATGGGCGCCATTTTGAATTTTCACATTTTGAAATAACGTCTTTTTTTCTCTTTAGAACGATATATCACACATGGTGGTTCAGTATCACATTTTTCCTAAAAATACAATTTTTAATTTTTTGAGAAGAGTGCTTTGTAAAAAGAAAACGTTCTTTTGTTGTGAACAAACTTATTTCATGTAGTGCCATTTACTAGGTTTATGCTAGTTGTATGCGAAAATGCCTTTTTCAAGTGCAGATCAAACAGAATGTGGCCTTTAGAATCCATAATTTCAAACAATTCTAAGATTGGTCTACTATTTCAAAAGTTACAGCCCTTTGAATTTTTTTTCGAAATTGGTTTCTAGTCTATAACTTTTGATTGAGAAGTCTGATCAAAAAAGTACGAATTGTTTTGGATTCTACGCACCAAAATTAATAAGAAAAAGTGTTTTCCCGAGAAATTTTGGTGTAGTCGATTTTTGGTAAAAAAGGAAGGGTGTACACTGCCTTTTTTTGAGGCCCNAGATATCGCAAAAAAACGAAAATTTCTGATTTTCGTTTTTAATTTTTTTATGTTAAACTAATCGTAGTAGACATTTCTCATTAACAGATTTCAAATATGGCATCCTGTTTTTAATAACTGTCAAGATGACGGAGAAACACGTGACAACTTTAGTTTTTCTTATGGGCGCCATTTTGAATTTTCACATTTTGAAATAACGTCTTTTTTTCTCTTTAGAACGATATATCACACATGGTGGTTCAGTATCACATTTTTCCTAAAAATACAATTTTTAATTTTTTGAGAAGAGTGCTTTGTAAAAAGAAAACGTTCTTTTGTTGTGAACAAACTTATTTCATGTAGTGCCATTTACTAGGTTTATGCTAGTTGTATGCGAAAATGCCTTTTTCAAGTGCAGATCAAACAGAATGTGGCCTTTAGAATCCATAATTTCAAACAATTCTAAGATTGGTCTACTATTTCAAAAGTTACAGCCCTTTGAATTTTTTTTCGAAATTGGTTTCTAGTCTATAACTTTTGATTGAGAAGTCTGATCGAAAAAGTACAAATTGTTTTGGATTCTACGCACCAAAATTAATAAGAAAAAGTGTTTTCCCGAGAAATTTTGGTGCAGTCGATTTTTGGTAAAAAAGGAAGGTTATACACTGCTTTTTTTGAGGCCCGAAAAAAAAATTGTCTCAGATCGACCCGGAAAAAAATTTTCTTATAGAATGTGGCCTGTAGAATCCATAATTTCAAACAGTTTCAAGATTGGGCTACTAGTTCAAAAGTTACAGCCCTTTGAATTTTCTTTCGAAATTGGTTTCTAGTCTATAACTTTTGATTGAAAAGTCTGATCGAAAAAGTACGAATTGTTTTGGATTCTACGCACCAAAATTAATAAGAAAAAGTGTTTTCCCGAGAAATTTTGGTGTAGTCGATTTTTGGTAAGAAAGGAAGGTTATACATAAAAATTGTATTTTTAGGAAAAATGTGATACTGAACCACCATGTGTGATATATCGGTGTAAAGAGAAAAAAAGACGTAATCTCAAAATGTGAAAATTCAAAATGGCGCCCATAAGAAAAACTAAAGTTGTCACGTGTTTCTCCGTCATCTTGACAGTTATTAAAAACAGGATGCCATATTTGAAATCTCCATTAAAAAGTGTCCGAATAATGTGTTAATTAGAAATGTCTACTACGATTAGTTTATCATAAAAAAATTAAAAACGAAAATCAGAAATTTTCGTTTTTTTGCGATATCTTCAAAACTATTGAAGATATTTCAAATTTCTTTTCAGATTCTTATTCGGCACGAAAATTGGCAACTTTTCCCCCATTTAACCAACTTTCTATCTCTTAAGATAAGTGAGATCCGCATAGTGGCACTCGAACAATGGACACCGTGTATATAATATATAAAAAAATATAGATTGTGATACATCAATGTATACGTAATCAAGAAAAATAAGGCAAAAAATGACATTAAACTACACAGGGTGTTGCATTAAAAAAATACCAACTTGGAGTCAAGTCTCAGAAACGGTCCAACATTCTTTTTTACCTCACGCCACCGGATTCTACTCTAAAATAGACAGTTTTTCCTCCTTTCTATTTTACATAGGTAGTATAAGATATGATAACATCTCAAAAAGTCAAACTTTTCGTTTACACCGTGTATCTGAGAAGCAAATGTAACTAGATTGATTCTGTTTGTGGTATTATACGTTATATAAAAAGGTGACACAGGGCCGCGAAAATCACAAGTCTCTGTCTTTAAAAACAGCTGAGACACGTCATGCAGAGTCAACGAAAATAGGACACACTGTACTAAAACGTATTTCATTACAACAAATTAGTATTCTCAATTCTTGACAAAAAATAAATAGAAAAAAAAGGACTTACTTACATTGTTTTAACGTAGACCCTCTTCGATCCATATTACTGTGCGAACAATTATAAGTGTAACGAGCTGGTGATTCCTTGCGATAGCGGCCCGAACTCAAATTGCTAGCAGGTAACGACGAAGGCGATGAGGCTTTCGTTGCTTGAACGATGGGGACGAAGGCGTTGGATAAATTCATTTCGACGAGGTAACATGGTGCCATGTTCTTGTTGACCGCCATTTTGATAGCGTTTCTTTAAATACAATGAACATTGTAGGCTTTGTAAACAGTGCAATTATACAACAAAAAATAGGAGATATACTTATACATAATAATAATAATAATATGGTCTTTATTTCATCTTTGTGTATACACATTAATCAAAGCCTTGATTTTAGGGCGAAGTTCAGCCTAGGGCTGTTCTACCACGTAACCCTAACATCATTTTTTGAATCACTTAATTCGACTGCTATCAGTGTAATTACGCTACAACATGAAATACAGTTTTTGGCTACAATTAATAGCGTCACCTTTTAACACAAAACCTTCTCAAAAATATGATTTGTGATCAGTGTCATTACGCTACTAACGATAAGCATAACTTAAAGCGGTATATCTTTAAAACATGCCATCATTCAAAGGACGTTACGTGCAGAAAATGTAGATAGTCATTTGTTAAAGCACACGACACATCCAAAAAATACCTAGGTATTGTTTATTTTGTGGTCAGTGTGTAGCACGAAGAGTAAGGCTTTGTTAAAGCATAATCGACGTAAGGAAATGTCGGCGAGTTAGAAAATTGTACGAGTGCGCTATAGAAATTGAGTTATAAATTGTGATGTTTATTATTTGTAATTAAAAAATTAAGTTAATTGCGTGTTCAAGCTCATTCAAGACATCCTCGCCCATTCAAATAAGGGTAGAATTAAGGCGCCTCAAAGACGGCATTATAAACTCAATTCACTTTAAAAATTAGTATAACTTCACTTAAATAACCCTATGTTTACAAAACGAGCCATTTTATTTTATGATAGATGTTAAATTGAAATTTTAACAAGCTTGAATGAGTACGCTAAGTTGTTCTTTATGCGTGAGGGTAGATCAAGTGATCACTTTCAACTCCAAGGGTAGATAACCTGAAATAGACGATGCATTCTATAACATCTGTCATTCTTATTTCAAATGGGATGGAGCACGATATAAAATGACGTTCAGAACATATGACAATATATTTGTTAATTTTAACTGTAATTCGGTTTAAAAAAGAATAAAAATGAGTGCAATACATTTTATAAATTCTTCGTTTCATTTCTCGATGCTCTTGTCTCGATATCAAACTTGAAGATCATGTTTTTTGCTTGAAGCAAAGGCACAGACCTCTTAAAAAAAGAAGGTCATATATTAAACATTATGATCTTTGTTGAAGTATATTTCTGTGGTTGGAGTCTGCCATTGTATGATGTATATACAATGGTCATACATATTAACATATATGATCTAAATTTGGAGTACGTAGTTGTCCATAGAGGTCACGTGGAGTGTGGAAGTTGTACACCGTCAATCCGAGATGGCGCTGCTTTGAAATTTGGCGGATTTCAAATACTGCTTGTCCATTCCACTTCCTGTTGCACTAAATGTGCGCATATCAATGCAGTCGTTTTCCCTTTCTCTCCACTTCCCGTCTTTTTAGGGGCAAGAATGTTATTTAGCATCTGTTTCTATCAATAACACCATTCTGCAGAAGAAATTTAGTTATATCTTTAACACAGATTCATGCTACACGGACATACAGTATGGTGCAACTGAATTTCCCATTTAACATTCGGCAATGGAATCCTTGAAACCAAATGCGATGGTGGTGTAATGGTCAGCATAGTTGCCTTCCAAGCAGTTGATCCGGGTTCGATTCCCGGCCATCGCATAATTTTATTTTTTTATACATATCAGAAATGAGACCCAGTAAGTGTTGGAATCATCCAAGTGTATAAAAGCCATTCTAAGCAAGTAGAAGCCTATACTTTCTCTATGACTAATGCAAGAAATATTGTACACATTTGCATAATTATACTGCCTTTTTCAACTGAGTGTCAGAAAAGGTACTTACAAAGGGAAATTTGTTAATCTATCACAAGCATCTGAATGTGGTGCAACTCAATTGTGATGCGCCACACAAACAAATAAAAAATAAAATGTCACACAGAAATTCAGAGAACACAAAACGAAATTATCATCTTGATTTTCGTCTCTAAAATAAAAGCAAGGAACAAAAAAGCACATTTTCATACTTCCTACAACTTTATTATAGTACCAGCTTTGCTAAAACACGAGATGTAGAACTTACTAGACCTAAACAAATTATGTGACTCGCTAACACAAATAAACAATTGAAGTCTTGACATCTTTTCCTTTTTCTGATTCCGTGATGAGCATAGCTTGTAACTTCGTAGGGTACAATTATTATCCATGTTCGGTTAACAAAAAAGGAATAAAGATGAACAGGCATCAGTGGAATGGGTGTGGTATTGTTGGTGTTAAAATAAAGAACTTTAACTTTGTAACTGCTTTATTTTCTTCCAAGCCTGCTAAGCATTTTCTAAAAAAGTGTCGCTGTGGTTTATTTGACACTTTTACATTCTTTTGTTTTGAACTGTAACCAGAGGAGAACGGCAGGAGTGCAACAAAGAAGAATTGCTGTTAAAACTGACAAAAAAAGATGCAGAAAAATTAACATACGAGGAGGGTGTTACGAGGACAATGTACAACATAATAAAGGTGAAGGAATGGAAGGTAAATCAACAATAGCTTACACGATAGTAAACAAACAAGGAATGGCAATTACAATAGAATTCGTGGTAGGTACGCGAAACGATTGGGACACCCAGCAAGTGGAAATAATTTTAAAAAGGAAAAGGAGTAGAGCATCCTTGGACACAACTACGAAGAACGGTATAGGTAGACACAAAAGAAAATGTGGAGAACTGCAGAAGCCCCCCGTAAATGCACAAAATGAATATTTGGGGGTACCTCATTTCTAAAAAATTTAATTTGGAACGATGCAAAATTAACCCCTATGCAAAATTAACCCCTCCACTGGTGGTTCCACCCAAAACTGCATGTAAAACGGAATGTGTGGAAGCTACATTTGTACAAAATTACAATCAATCCATACGTTTTGTGCTAATTTCTAGTGTAAGTGACTTGGCAAAGTACCCTTTGCTCTCGATAATGTATTTCATACTTGCAAATTTTGTATAGTAAACTTTAAGACACCAACCTTCCTAATACCACTAACCGCAATAATAAATACTAGCATTTTCAAAACCATGTACGTAACAATTCAGGTTTATCAACCCCATCAATTTTATTTATAATTTATCTACAGCACATGAAAAAATCAAACGCTTTACGTTTTGCTAGGGCCCATCTCCTTGTGATAATTGGCAACCGCCTCTTGGGCTTTCGATAACGGCCGTTTACCTTCGTACGCCCTAGACCGCATCTCCTCTTCGACGCTTTTATTTACGCTCTTCGTAACGACCTGCTTCAATTTCTGGGCCTCTTGGTGTTTCTGCTTCTTGGGTTTAATTGGGCAATCTGCAATTTTAAAAATGATAAGGGAGGTTTCTCGAAAGACGTGGAATATACTCACTTGCCCTTTGCGTTACGGCTTTACCCTTCTGGGCAGGTTTTTTGTTTTTAACACTTGGTGGTAATTTTGATTTTACCTTTAATTTGCCTTGAGCCATGTGTGAGTTTTTTAAAGAAATTATTAATAATAAACACAAAACCACGTGTTACAACAGAAACTTAAAGTGTCAATAACAGATGGCGCTGTACACCGCCGCGGCAATTTTTAAAAGTTTGCATACAAGAAAAGATAAAAAATAATATCATTTTAATATTTCAGGGAGCTCTGGTGTTCTTAATTTTGTTTCCTTTATTGCTTCATTTATTCATACATATATGTATGTATACAGATCTACAATTTTAGAGCGTCGTTTACGGACGGCGTACCTTCTAAGGTCGTTTGTAAGCGCAGTTGTTGGATTACTGTACCGGTATGGAACTGGCATGTCAGCTTTCGGAACCTAGTGGATGATCTGAGCCTCATAGCACGTAGGAACACTTGGCTATTGAAGAATTTTCAGGTTAAGGTCCGGCGTTTCCGACGTTCCTTCTTTGGGGTCACTGGCAGGTCCCACAAGCCAGCAGAGCCATTTTAGAAAAATGAAGGATGAAATACATCAGAATTATAGGCCCTTTTTCCACACTTGAACAAATTTTCAGGCGGCATCCTTTAAACAAAAAAAACTATCATCTAGATCAGTTTGATTTTGCCCCTCTCGGAGATGTAGTGGATAAATAAAAATTATTTATTTATTGGCTATTTATTGTCCCTCTCTTGTTCTGGGCCCTCAATGGGCTTTCGCCCAATTAATATATATAAACTCTAACTTATATTTCAAAAATCCGATACTACTGAATACTAAACGATCCTCGAGATCTTCACACATACATCATTTTTACAATACACCCTAAGGGGTTGATTCTGTCCCACCTGATCAGCATAGCTTGTAACACAAATTTTTTGAAATGGAATTAGTTTTACTTTTATTTGAGGTGCCTGAATACAACATTTCATTTAAATACCTTAACAAATAAAAGAAAACCGACTGCGCACAAATTTTTTGATTTGGCATTACTTTCACTTTTATTCGAGGTACCTAGATACAGAATTTCATTTAAATATATTAACAAATAAAAAATTAGGATTGCGCAAATACAAAAGTTGTCATGCGCATGCGCAGTATTTGTTTGCATCTGCATAGTTGCCTGAAGTTTAAGGAATATTTACTAACACAGAAAACCGGACATTCATATGTTCTTTGTAACAAGAGTTAGAAACCCTTTTTGGAGGTTTGCGCAGTTTTTGGTCTGTAACTTTTTGGCCCGTTGGTCTACGTAGCCGAAAAACAATTGCGAACTTTGTTATATCCTGAAGAACATGTGTATATCAATTTTTAAAGCGATGGGACGTTTCTACACAAAGTTATCGTACACACGGACAGACAGACGCACAGACAGGCAGCAATACAAAATTATAAACGATCTAGAGGTTCGTTAATAATATAATGAGACGAATAATTTTAATTTTTTTTTGTACTTCTTTCCAATTCAGGAATATCGTTTCAACTTTTCTTCTCCGAGAGTATAAGAGAAGATGCATAGACAACTCAGACACTTTTAACATTACTTTTTTTTAAACCTGAAACACAACAACTTGCTATATATTTGATTTATTAGTAAAAGAAAATTCAAATTTCAAATACCTACTTGACAGATGTCTCCAAACAGGTGGACCAATCCCTAACATTAAAGTTACTAGAATCTGGTAACTTCCGCAATTTTTGGGCAAAAAACATGCGTTCTCTCTCTAATACACGGGCCCAATGGATTGCGGTACTTTCTGTGACTCATAATGGATCTACAGTGACTGTATACCTACTGTATAGAGGCAGTTTGGTCATACTTTGGTGTTGTTTTTTTTATTGGAAAGTGGGATATCCGCAATATTTTAACCAAATAAATCGGGTTGGCGGAAATTAACTTGGAATCCAAGGTGATTAAGTCACAAACAGTTGTGGCAATAATATTGTAACCATAGAAAAATGCCATAATCTACCAGTTCAATTAAACCGATCAGCTCAATGAAGAATATGGGAAAAACATGGCGGAAATAGAGCATATGACCACACTGTCTTTATACAGTCACTGTTAATGGATCGATATTAATTACAAGGCAAAAATTTTGGGCATGCGCATAACGTATCGCACATGTGATCAGCTAGCTTCTTCTTTAGCCAGCAAAATCATAGTTTTTTTGTTTAAAGGATGCCGCCTGAAAATTTGTTCAAGTGTCCAAAAAGGGCCTATAATCAGCCTATAATTCTGATGTATTTCGTCCTTCATTTTTCTAAAATGGCTCTGCTGGCTTGTGGGACCTGCATTTGCCTAGCCCTAGAGGGCTTGGTCTTCAGACTGAGCAACGTTGAAAAATAAAGATTATCCAGGCTAAATAACACTGGAGGCGTAGAACGAGATAAAAGACCGACTTCTAATTGTGCGTTGACTTAAAAAGTAGACTTGTAGATCGACTGACAAATAAACATTTCTAAAGGATTATTGCTGGAAGAGCTGGTAGGAGGGAGAAAAGTTATCCTACTGTTTGTTTATATTATTGATATAAGATACGAAATAAAATTGTGAGGGAAGAATTAGGCATAAAAAGAAAAAGAGAAACAATGTATCGAATAAATCCTGTAAACAATTTTAAAAGCGAGAATGAAAGCATCTATCAAGTTAAATCTTGCCAGATGTAACAATGTAAAAATAAAGTGGTTGGTATGTGTATTAAAACAACTATAAAAACATAATTTTTTTATTACACTAATCAAAAGTTATAAATAGATTGCCAACGTGAATGAATTATAATAAATACCAGTTGCTTGCACTTCAACTACAGGTAACGCGTTACGAGGTCGAAATGTTAATTTAAAAAATAGGATATGCCTCTAACTGATGCAGTAAAAGCGCCTAAAATTATTATATATACAAACTAGAGATCGATTAAAAGTGGAAGAACTACACAAAGTTTGTACTTAGTCAAAAATTGAAGCTTGGCGAAGAAAGTAACGCGGTTTCAACATTCAAAACGATTACAGACATGTATATGCATGTATAAAAATTATTGTTACACATCCAAATCGTTATATAATATATATATTTGATATTTGTATAAAATCGCAATAACAACACAATATCAAGCACGATAATACGAGACGACCTGCGCTTGTAGTTTAACACCATAAAGGCGGGGCGTCCCGTGAGTATGCTTCAAAATAGTTTACATCAAAACTTGTGATTACAATCAAGTGTGTCATGCACTTGTGTTACAACCCCAGAGTACAACCATCGGTTAAAGCAGTGGATCTCAACACTGGACCATTTCCAAGTGCCTTCTCCTCATGTGAACGTAGAGGACCATTTTACATAACTCAATTTCGTCCCCCCCCCCCAAGGGGATCCATCGGGCCACGTTGAGAAACACCGAGCGATTACAAAAATGAAGTGGCAGTTAGACAGCACAAAAATGTAAAAGTAGGGTCGTGTTCTGCTCCTAATCGTGCAATTACAGAATACCTTAAAACGTCCGCAGAGGCCACATAGTTCCTAATTTAAGAAAATGATGTCAGTCTGTGTTATAAATATTATTACACGTGCTCATTATTACTAATACTATATTAGGCACTGAAACTTTCACAACATAAAGTTTAATTTGCAGTCCCGAGTGCAATTATTACTATATCGCATCAAACAAGCGAGCACTTTGTCTGGTATCTTTTTTTTCTTTAAATTGTCGTCTAAAAATTGAGCTAATGATGCCTAATTTATAAATGCTAATCTACTTAATATTAGGCACAATAAAATTATTCAACATTCTCAAAATAGTTATATCTCTTTTTTCTCTCTTCCGTTATCGAGAACACAACGCGTTAGCACAACTCTTGAAATTATTAACTCACAACTTGCGACTTTCGACTTACAAATCGTAAATCGAGGAGGTAAATACTGCAAAAATAATATCACTCTCTTTTGTCGTCGTTGAATCTGGAATGTTCATCATCGTAGATGATCGTGCACGATTCATGTCAAATTTAATAAAATGGAAGCATGACATATTTAACTCTAAGTTACTAAAACCCTACGTTCACTCAACAGTTTGATATGAGAATGAAAGCGAAATGACTAGAAAATTTTATCACCAGGTCGTAAATTATCAATCCTCTCCTTAACTTACATAAAACGTCAACTCAATCTAACCGAAGCGAACTAACAAAAAGAAAAGTGAGTGCTACACATTCCTCGGTTGAATAACTGTATTGTTGTTAAATCGTATCATAGTTTCACTATTGGAATTTTCGTCCGCGTGCGAGTGTTCTGTGCGAAGGCTTCCCTCAAAGCCGGGATTTAAGATTATATTCGGAACTAGCTCTATTATCTCTTGATCGTCGATCTCTGCAAAAAAATGCGATAGTAAACACGTGGGACATGGGCGGGTACGTCCAAGGCTACGCATGCACGGATCTACAACGTTAAACAAGCAGGTTATTAGAGAATTTCATGCGATAGATATCGATTCCTGAGTAATAATCGCAAGTGGTGTCGTAACGGTGCATACACTAATAAGAAATTCACTATATACAGTGTGTTTCTAAATATGATCTCAAGGATATTGATTATAAATTACCCAATGCAAATTTTGTACTATTATGTAGTCAAAAAATAATTTTTTATAATAGACCACCCTGTATTTTATTTTATCCTCATAATTTTTCTTAAGTCAAACACATGATAGCTCTAGTTTAAACATGTTATTGAGTTATTAAACAATTAAAATTGTGGTTATGCTACTTACCAATTGGAAAACGATTACCTTCAAAGTCGGCCATGAACTATTATTGTCTTTATTTTATTTTCAGTATTAATAGCATAATATTTCATGGCCGTATCACAGTTAAGAACATCCTGTATATGTGACAACACCAGAAACACAGTTGAGCACATTTCTCATCCATACAGCCGTGAAGGATCAACCTCAAGGGAGGCTGATAGCTTTCGGCATTGAGGACAATGACCAAGCCAATCGAATCGCCAGGGGAGAAAGCTGAGTTATGGATTTTTCTCACTAAAGGTCAGGGTTAGTAACCCTGCCGAACCTGGAGCAGGGAGTAAGTCAACACGAGCAGCTGCTACAGGGGCAACTGCAAGAAACTACCCAAGGCAACCTGTGGTGAGTGCTTTCTCCAGCGTTAGCAACTCACCTGGGATGATCTCGAACAGGAATGCTGGGGCCTGATTCAAGCAACGCCAGATAAACGATATACAGCTATACAAATAAACCTGCAACACTGTAAGGCGGCCGCTGTTACCTTTAGTAGGCGCCTCACTGTGAAGCAGAACATTGCCACCTCCAGTGAGTGTAGCAAACCACGATGACCTTCAGCGCAGTACTTCAAATGACCTTTGGAGTTGGCGCATGTGCAGAACGCAAGGTCAAATTATGCCCGGTATTTAAAGCTGTTTTTTGCAGTAACCAAGATCTTATATCAAATAAGGATCGTCCATCTAAGCTTCAGAGGACCACCTCGTAGCCTGGTGCGTTTTTGCTATCAAGGGTTATCAAAAAACCTGAGGTTACCCTGTATATTTTAACGTTATCATAACCTATATTTTTTAATAGGCTTCATGGAGCTTTTGATTTTTTATTGTATTCATGGCACCCAGTACCAATCATTAAAAATGGCTGATGATAGAAAAATGTCATTCCAAAATTTAAAAAAATATAATATTATATTATATATAATTTTATACCTACAAAAAATATAGGGTGTGATACATCAATGTAGTTAGGAAAAAGAATGCAAATAATTGAAGTGAAGATATATGTATAGGGGGTTGCATTTAAAAAATGACAACATTGGGTCAAATCTCAGCAAAGGTGGTCCGAAAAACCACTGGATTCTACAAAAAAATATGTAAAAGAAACGGTTTTTAACTTTTATCTATCTTACATGGCTAGTAATCGAAAAAGTACGAATCGTTTTGGATTCTACGCACCAAAATTAATAAGAAAAAGTTTTTTCCCGAGAAATTTTGGTGTAGTCGATTTTTGGTAAAAAAGGAAGGTAACAACTGCCTTTTTTTTGAGCCACGAAAAAAGAATTGTCACAGATCGACCCGGAAAAAACATTTTCTTATAGAATGTGGCCTGCAGAATCCATAATTTCAAACAGTTCCAAGATCGGGCAACTAGATCAAAAGTTACAGCCCTTGGAGTTTTTTGTCGAAATTGGTTTTTTGCCCATAACTTTTGATTGAGACGCCTACTTATTCCAAAAAGTCAAACTTTGCGTTTTCACCCTGTATCTCAGAAACAAACGTGGCTAGAATGATTCTGTTTGTGGCAAGTATTAAAAATTTCACAAAAAAGTCTCTAAACAAATACACTGCAGTCTGAACCAAAAGAGGACACACTGTACACAAGAGCCTTAATCACATTGACGTTTCATACCGCTCCCCAGTGTTTAATCTTAAAAGTGCACATTAATAATTAGCATCATCTAATGTATAAGCAGCGAAAAAAGGCGCTTTAGTAGCAAAGACGGACGGTAGAATGCTGTATTGCGCTTGAATTAAAGTAAAAGCAAGCAATACAAACATTAGAAGCGACCGAAGCAACTCAAGCAAGTGGTTGCTATATTACATTCCGCCAATAGCCACGAAATATAGTGCGAGCATGCCTCCACATAAAATTTCAAACGAGCAAACTTACTGTACAAGGACCAGGTAAAACAACACACACCTCTAAAACTTACCACTCGGTGCGCGGCACTCTTGATAAAGTAAAAAACAAGTGCCTAAGCCTAAAACTACTAATGTGCCCATTACAACCCCGACCGCAACCAGCCACATACGCGTGTCAAACTTATCGGCGCCCTCTAAGAAATGCCTCGCCAGCTCTGCACGAAAATAACAATGCGTTAGTAAACGACACCGACATCAACAGAACGTACCTAAATCCTGATTATTCATCAGCGTGCGTCCCTCGATCTCGGCAACATCTCCTTTGCCCAACTGATTAATGCCCCAGACCCGAAAGGCATACGTGGTGTTCGGTTCGAGCTTGTACACCTCGATCTGCCTGGAATTCGGACTGATGCGATTCGGCGAGATGGGCTTCCACTCCTCGCTGGAGTTCGCCAGCCGGTACTGGGCGGTGAAGCAGATGATCGGGTAACCGCCGGTATCCTCGACGGTCCACAGAACCAGGGCCAGTATCGTCGAGGGATGCACCGATAACGATAACAAAGGCGGCGGCGTTCGCACCCTCAATCCGACGCTGGCCTTCACGTCGGGACTGTCCGAGTTGGCGGGCAGGCAGGTGTAGATGCCGGAATCGTTACGGTCAACCTCCATGAGGAACAGCGATCCGTCATCTTGTATCAGCAGGCGGGAGACCTGTCGAGCCTCCTTCCCTTCGTGGACCCACATTATGTTTTTTGCATCCGGTAAGGAACATGGTAAGGACAGGTTGCGACCCAAATCCACAGAAATATTCCGAATTTCAGCACCTGCAATGGAAGGTTGAGAATTCGGTCGGGCCCCCTTTTCTCCTCACCTGATGTCAGTACGAAATGAAGCACACTTAGGGTCAACGCTTGTGTAATCAACATAATTCCATAAAGTAAATCTTGCAAAAATTAAACATAATTTTGATTTTTGTTCACTACCCAACCCGAAGACATATTTATTGATCACATTACCAACGTGACGCACAAAAACGTCCAATGAGCTTACATCTAAAGACCCGTTCTAAAACTCAGGGCGACTCTTTATTTTTTTAAAAATCGGCGCCATTTGCCCAATTTGACTTTCAAACTATAGCTTAATATAAACAGGGGCGGACTGGGTACTTACGGGCCATTAAGCCATTAAAGTATTAGTGTAGTAATGAAGGTGGGGGAGGGGGGGTAGCTCTGAGGTGCACCACAAAAACATTCCTTCCTTTTTTACCAAAATTCGACGGCACCAAAATTTCTCGGGAAAACACTTTTTCTTATTAATTTAGGTGCGTAGAATCCGAATCGATTCGTACTTTTTCGATCAGACTTCTCAATCAAAAGTTATAGACTAGAAACCAATTTCGAAAAAAAATTCAAAGGGCTGTAACTTTTGAACTAGTAGCCCAATCTTGGAACTGTTTGTAATTATGGATTCTACAGGCCACATTCTATAAGAAAATTTTTTTCCGGGTCGATCTGAGACAATTTTTTTTTCGGGGCTCAAAAAAAGGCAGTGTATAAACCTTCCTTTTTTACCAAAAATCGACTACACCAAAATTTCTCGGGAAAACACTTTTTCTTATTAATTTTGGTGCGTAGAATCCAAAACAATTCGTACCTTTTCGATCAGACTTCTCAATAAAAAGTTATAGACTAGAAACCAATTTCGAAAGAAAATTCAAAGGGCTGTAACTTTTGAACTAGTAGCCCAATCTTGCAACTGTTTGAAATTATGGATTCTACAGGCCACATTCTATAAGAAAATTTTTTTTCCGAGGCGATCTGAGACAGTGTTTTTTCGGGGCTTAAAAAAGCCAGTGTATAACCAGGGGCGCACTGGCCCGGGGGGGCGGGTGGCGATTGCCACCTGGCCTGTACGTCATAATGGCCCGTTGGAAATTTATAAGTATGTGCTGTATTTAGTTTCTTGCACTATTAATAAATTATTAACACGTTTCTCTAATTGGGGTTGATGTTAGGTTGTTAAAAAATTTAAAAATTCTGTTTTAATTGAAGTGTTTTACAATGAATTTATCATTTTTTGTCGTAGCATGAAAGTGCTGAAATACAATGATAGGCGACGCACCTCGTGTGGATTGTATATGCTGCAATAAAAAAAAACTGTATGGTAATTTATTTTCGAGAAAGGAGTACTTTAAAATGTTTTTGTGGTGCACCTCAGAGCTACCCCCCCCCCTCGGTCACCATCATTACTACACTAATACTTTAATGGCCCGTAACCTATGCAATTCCACCTGGCCCGCAGTTACCCAGTCCGCCCCTGAATATAAAACATATATCATATATATAAGAGAAGAATATATATGACATATATAGGAGCTGTAGTTCAAACACCAATCTAATGATTTTTTTAACATAATAATTTCCAAAAAAAACGTCAAGAATTCTAGGAAGTAGATATTAAAAAATAATTTTTCAAAAAGCAAAAGGATGGGCATTATGAAGAGTCGCATTTATATATAAATTCCGGTTTAAATACAGAAATCGGATGTGTCTACAATATCGAAAACGAGGATCCAATCCAGTAACTTTGCCGCGCTTTTAGACAACAGCCGTTAACGACCCAGCTGTTTTTGAAGGTTTACCTTCAGTTGCTTTGGAGATTGTGCATGGTGCGTTTGTGCGAGTTTTACAATTGAACTAATTTACACTTTGTGACTGGTCTTCTTCTCAAGAGAACCGAATGGTCCACCCCCGTTGAAATACGCAGGTAAATTTATTTAATTGCTTAGGCCCCTCGCGTTTACCCCAACGACCCTTAATTTAAGCGCCTGCAACCTCTTTTTTACCAGCCAGTTTTCGACTTTGTACCGTAATTAGACTAATTTCTAAACTGGAAATGTCGTTTGGTAAATAAACAAACAAACGGATGTTAACATCCGATCACGTATCAATTTAGGTGCGATTATAATAATATAAAACTGGGAACATTTGAATTTCGAATAGCAAAAGTAGTGGTCGTCGGTGATAGTTGGGTCATTCTTGCGGTGGGGGCGATTTGGTTAATTTGGGGATGGACGAGGAGGCCTAAGGGTTCACTCCGTAGACCACTCCCTGGTTTCTGCTGTTTTGGCGCCAAAATACAACCCCAGAAAAGGGATACTAAACTCGCTGTTTTTTATGGTAACTACTGGGAGAGAATTGACGTGTATTTTGAAACATGCAAAGTGTATACAGAGTGGTCCAAAACAATTATGACTGAGTGTTAGTTGCCAGGTCAATTTACCAGATGTCACCCTTCTGTAAGCACTGTTAAAGTCACTAAAATATAGAAAGTACCGCAATCCATTGGGCTCGTGTGTTAGAGAGAGAAAGCACGATTTTTGCCCAAAAATGGGGGAAGTTACCAGATTCTAGTAACTTTAATGTTAGGAATTGTTACATCTGTTTTTATAAAACATGACAGTACTATGAAGTTAGGTTATAAAAAATTACAGCTATTCAGATTTTATTTGTCAATTTTTTTAAGTTGGCAGCAAATTTGCCCAAAAATGGCGGATGATTGGGGTACTTTCTATATCGAGTGACTTTAAGCACTCTCTCTTCCTGCGAAAAGATGAACTGGTGTTTTACAAAAAATATCAGAAGTGGGATGAAAATGTGCTTGTGGGAATTGGGTTTGCAATATACCAAAGATTTTGGTTCTGTGATTATAGAATTTCTTTTGTGATACAATTTGCGCCCCACTTAATATTTTGGTTTTATATCTGTTCCATCGAGCCATTTTCCCGAACGAGTTACGGGGCTTGAAGCAACACTCCGTTGGAAACTGTCTCTTGTCACGTAGATTTGGGAATTAGGCTGTCAGGTCTGGTCTATTCCATTGAAACAAACGCGCTTCTTTGTTTACATTGATAAGGAAACGCTTTCGCCGATTTTGTTTTTTTAGTAACGCTGCCACTCATTAGGCATAGTACTGAAACCATTAAGAATTATGGGCCGTACAGATGGGATGCGATGTTATTAAAAATAGAACGCAGTTACTACCAAAACAAACGTTTTGGCGCCCAACGCGGGGCACGCCGTCTGGGCTGAGCTCATAAATACCTACAACGCAGTTAATTGGGACATCGCTTCGATGAATTTGTGAAATCGTATTCGTAGAATCAAGGAATCCAGAAACCCAATTTCCAATGACGTTCGCGTATTACGTCAGACTTTTCCTTGACGTCACGGATCGAAGCTACTTCATTTGAAACATTTCAATTCCAGAACTTTGTAATTTAAACGTTTAAATGATTTCAATTAGTAATTGACTTGACAATAAAAAGCTAACGGGTCTATTGTTTTTCACTCCGGGGAGTTTTTCCTTTTGTGATATATTTTTTATTAACACGAAAGGCCTACATTACGTACCGGAACTCTCGTGGGAGAGGTTTTGGCGATAATATCAATCCATTAGTGTTCAAATAAAATGTATGGTGACAATGTTTTTTTCTCACGACTTTATTAGATTGGACATTCTCACATTTATAACTACGTACGCATACAGATAGTAAAATTGCAGCGATGGTGATGCCGCAGTCGATTTTCAGATGAAAAGTGTTATTACTATTATTCTCAGAAGTGGTCCCCTGTCAACCCGACGCTGTTTAGTTGTAGTCTCGAATCCTTCTGGAAGCAGCTTCTCTCAGCATTCCCGAGTGCATCATCATTCTCCCAAGGAACCAGTAACACAGTATATGCGGAGAAGTGTCTTCTTCCTCCTGGCACCCTGACATGGGCTACTTCGAGGCCCATATTGTAAAGGAGATCTGTTAAAAAAATAATATCATATAATATCATACATACTTGAGCTTTTTGGACGAAGGACTTTACGTTACACAATATCGCAGTAATATTTTGGGTTTGTGCATTAGGTCAGCCGACCTGACTCAAACACAAGTCTCATTGTCCTCCGTGTTTGCTGAAAGATTCAACTGGTTCTTCATATACGGGGTCGGGATCGGAAGGATTAGTCTCAATTCGCTGGTTCCACGAGCTTTGGACGAATATACATTACCAAAGCGCAACCCGAATCTTTCTCTTAGATTTTCTCTAGTTTAGCCTTTACACATTATTCGCTTGAACCTGGAAAATAAAGTAACATATTGCTTTTTATTTGCAAAGGTAAGAAAGAGCGCGAAGTTTTGCAGAATTAAAAGAAAATGCTGTCAGTTTCAATTCTCAAAGGGAGGATTTCTGCATCCTATTCGAGGATACCTATTAACGGCGGTTTGTCAGAAGATCTCATCTAAACGAACATCAAAAGCGTCGAGCGACGCCACCCCATCAATCGATCGACTAATTAGGCCCACTTATCGGTGCCGATATCGAAAGGGAAAATGTGCGGATCGCAAAAAAAAAAATGAGCGTCGAGGTGAAATGGAAGCCCGGAAATTGCGAGAGAGAGCTGCGCCAGAGTGACCCGGTCGGAGCTCGCTAAATGTCAAAGGTAACGCGTGTTTCGCCGGTTTCCACCCCCAAAAACAACGGCGAAACCGACTCGACCGACAGCCGAAAACCTACACAAATTCCCATTAGTTTTAATATACGCCCGGGAAGGTCGGCGCGAGGTTTATTGCCTCGATTTGCAATTGCTGGATGCACTTTGACCTTAACGATATAAAGAGCTACCCCCCGTGTCCGTAATTGCCCTCGTTAAAGACTCGGGCGAGAAACGCACTTATATGAAGGACGGTGGCTTTAATTACCTTTCTTCCAACCTAATTAGCATTAATTGTGTCGGCCTTTTCGCGGTTTTTAAAGGGAAGATCGATCGCTCGCGGAAATACACAAAGTATGTCCGCCCACACGCGACACGAGTGCCAAAAAGCGTCGACGGGCTTACAAACAAAGATTAAATGGAACGAGACGACATTGCCAATTTATAGAGCGATACAAATGCGGATTTTCCGGCAAATGTTAATTTTTCACACGTTTTCCGCTAAATTCGAGGCAGACTAAAATATCACGCGAGTCAAGTCAGAAACTTCAAATGTAGGAGTGTGTACAGACTACAGGGTGGCCAACTAAGAATGCGAGGTACTATATCTGGGAACCTGTCCATCTTAGAGGCTTGCGGTAAAAAAATTTATTACTGAAACGGCCACGAGAAAAACCTGGAAAATATTTTTAAGTTTCGGCAATGGTCGCTAGGGGGCGTAACTGACATTTGGAATCTAAAAAAGTGATTTTTCTGTGAATTCCGCTATATTAACCTAACCTTTTTTGTTTGACAATTTTTCCTGTATTTCTAAAAATAAAGTGGTGGGGGGTATTCAAAGGTTTCCGTAAAGAACACCCTGTATCTTCGAAACGGCTGAGCCGATTTAAACAAACTCGGTTTAGTTCAAAAGAGCTATTCTTCAGCTACAAATATTATACTATTTGATGTTTTGTTAGTTTCACATATCGCCGCTTGAGGGCTTTTTTCGACATTCCGACAGAAATGGTTAATTTTCTCAAAAAAATTAAATGCGTTGGTTCGATTTTTTTTTCATGAAAAAGTAGCTAAATGATGCCTAAACAAGCTCGCGAAAACAGCATCTCGATATCTTGAGATATATATACACGGTGTCCATTTTTCGAGTGCCACTGTGGGGATCTCACTTATCTTAAGAGATAGAAAGTTGGTTAAATGGGGGCAAAGTTGCCAATTTTCGTGCTGAATAAGAACCTGAAAAGACATTTCAAATATCTTCAATAGTTTTGAAGATATCACAAAAAAACGAAAATTTCTGATTTCCGTTTTTAATTTTTTTTATGATAAACTAGTCGTAGTAGACATTTCTAATTAGCACATTATTCGGACACTTTTTAATGGAGATTTCAAATATGGCATCCTGTTTTTAATTACTTTCAAGATGACGGAGAAACACGTGGCAACTTTAGTTTTTCTTATGGGCGCCATATTGAATTTTGACATTTTGGGATTACGTCTTTTTTTCTCTTTACAACGATATATCACGCATAGTGGTTTAGTATCACATTTTTCCTAAAAATACAATTTTTCATTTTTTGAGAAGAGTGCTTTGGAAAAACAAAACGTTCTTTTGTTGTCAACAAAAGTTTGACAGTTTGATCCATCAGTATGGTTGCAGCGTTGTCAGAGAAGTAGAAATTCAGCAGTCATGTGGGCATTTCGATGAGAAGTGTAGTAAATTTGGATCATATCTGTTTGATCTGCACTTGAAAAAGGTATTTTCGCATACAACTAACATAAACCTAAATGGCACTACATTAAATAAGTCAACCTTTTGTTCACAACAAAAGAACGTTTTCTTTTTCCAATGCACTCTTCTCAAAAAATTAAAAATCGTATTTTTAAGAAAAATGTGATACTGAACCACCATGTGTGATATATCGTTGTAAAGAGAAAGAAAGACGTAATCTCAAAATGTGAAAATTCAAAATGGCGCCCATAAGAAAAACTAAAGTTACCACGTGTTTCTCCGTCATCTGGAGAGTTATCGAAAACAGGATGCCATATTTGAAATCTTCATTAAAAAGTGTCCGAGTAATGTGTTAATTACAAATGTGTACTACCGTTAGTTGTATGCCTCGGAATGGAAGGTACGCCGACCCTGCCACACATGGAGTACCACCATAAACCAAACGGTAGAGGTCTCGGGGATTACTATGGGAAGAGACGAGCAAAGACACACATCAAGGAAGAAAGAAAGCAGAAGAATACTGGAGGTGGAGGAAGAAGCCAAGGGGAGGAGGAAA